TATATATATATATATATATTAATAATACTATGAATAACTCTTGATGTGTGTGTCTAAAATATTTCATAATTAAAATAAGAATGGGGGAACAAGTTTTTTTGGTTGGTTTTTATTCTATTTTGAGTCAGGGTCTTACCACGTAGCTCAGACTGGCCTGGAACTTCAAATTTTTGTTGTTGTTGTTGTTTTATTTTATGTGTATGAGTGTTTTGCCTGCATGTGTGTTAAGTGCACCACATGTATGTGACGCCTGTGGAGGCTAGAATAGGACATTGGATCTCCTGGAACTGGAGTTATGGACAGTTGTTAGCTGCCATGTGGGTGCTGGAACTGAACCCACAGCCAGTGCTCTTAACCAGTGAGCCATCTCTCCAGCCCCTGGCCTGGAACTTTTGATCCTTTTGCCTCAAACTCTCGAGTGTGGACAGAAAAAGAACATTACTTAATTTTACTGCTTCGTATGAGCATAGTTGTCATTAAAATGTAAGCAGATATAAAACACATTAAATATAAAATAATACTATTAGGCATGGTGGTGCCTGCCTTTAATCCCAGCACTCAGGAGGCAGAGGCAGGTAGATCTCTGTAGTTCAAGGCCAGCCTGGTCTACATAGTGAGTACCAGGCCAGTGAGAGATACATAGTGAGACTCTGACTCAAAAACAAAAATAAAAAAACCCACATAACTATAATAGTAAATAAATATTAGTAAAGTTCAGTGTATTGCTTTCTCCAATAGGTATTTGTGGACATTACCCCCACACTCCTGTGGGTTGTTGTGATCATCCCTTGGGGCATTTGTACCCCATTTTGGAGAGAGGTCTCAGTGTTCTAGTAGTTTCTCAAATTGTGGTTCTCAGAATACTTGCATCTGAATCATCTAAAGATCTTATTTAAAATGCAGCTTTAGAGCTGGGCGTGGTGGTGCAGTCCTTTAAACCCAACACTGGGGAGGCAGAGGTAGGCGGATCTCTGTGAGTTCAAGGCCAGCCTGGTCTACTTAGTGAGTTACAGGCCAGCTGGGGCTACAGAGAGACCTTGTCTCAAAAAGAAAATAAAAAAACAAAAAACAGCTTTCATCCCCACTAGGGACCATGAACCAAAAATCTACAGTTTTAGTGAGAACCCTGGTGAGTCTGAGGCACTGTTACTGAGCAGTGGGTGTTCCAAGCTGTTCAAGAGCTGGGGATGGTGATAAGGTGAGCCCAGGACATGTGTTCAGGGGTCTTCAAGCTGGACGGGCTGGGGTGGCTCCTTCATCTGACCCCAGTCTCCCTACCACTCCAGAAAACAGATACCAGTAGAAGATTCTGACTATAGCTCGGATGACACCAGTATGTCCCCCAGATCATCCACCTTATTGAACCCCATCAAACTGGCCGTGACTCAGCCCAATAGAAGCTTCTTTGCTGGGACGCTGGAGGGTGAGCTGAACAAACTGAGCTTATCATCGCTGACCAAGAAAACAGAAAAGGAGAACCTGACCATCTGCCCTCGCTCATCCAAGTCCCAAATGGCTCCCAAGGGCCTATTGGACTTTGACAACCCTGTGCTGGACACAGACACTTCCTCAACATGCTCAGAATCTTCTGTGGTCATGAGTGTTCCAGAAACCCCCTTCATCTGTGAACACACTGTTGGTGATTCCACAGCCGAGGTGATTTTTGCCTTGGCAAGGGCTATGTAGGCATTGAGCTGTGCTCTGTGGGACGTGTGAAGGCACCACCACTGCACTCTTACCTCGAGGTAGTAATTTAGGAAGGGAAGTGGGAGAGCCTGTCTCTGCAGATCTATAGTGTAAGATGGATAGGGCTCCCTTGCTCAATCCAGGGACGATTCAGATTAAGTGTGGCCAGGAATTCAAAGGGAGAAGAGTTACTTCCAGCTGTAAATGTTTACTAACATTTGAGCTGATAAGAGTTAAGATTCAAATGTCTGGAGATGGGGGAAGAGAGGCATTCTGTGGAGGGGCTGACCTGAACAAGGGCTGAAGTTGGAAAGTATTGGAGGACATGAGCAGCAGCCTCAGTTGGTCCCAGCTTCTAATCCAGGGCTTCTGACAATCATATTGGTAAAGGCTACCCTGTCATCCTATCAATACCTAGATTCCTGGGTCCTATCCCTAGAGGGCCTGAGTGAGGCCTGGGAATGTGTATCGCTAACAGTCCCAGGTGATGGAAATGTTATATAACTCCGAGATGCTGAGTCAGGCTTCTTGTCATTCAGTTGCTGTACAGCCATAGCCCAGTCATTTGCCCTCTGTGCCACATATGCAATGAGGTGGAAGAGGTGGTCTCATAGGTAGCTTTCAGCTGACAGTCTAGGACCCTCAGGTGGGTGGCACTCCCAGCCAGTGCTGCAGGGTGGATGATTGTACATGCACTGGTCTGCCTCAACCTTCCTTCAGACATGCCTAAGCTCCAGCAGAAGAGAAATGGGAGAGGCCTTGTGATCCACAGACCAGGCCAGGCCTGAGGAAACCTGGGCTCTCTCTTCCCCTAGATTTCCTGGACCTATGCTGTGGGCAAACAGCAGGTCAGCTTCTACCAGGTACTGATGCAGGAGGCAGCCAAGCCAAATGACAGCGAGATACCCAAGGTCAAGAACTGCCCATGGATATTCAACAAGATCTTCGGCACCACTGTCAAGCTGACAGAGTTGAAGCCCAACACGAGTTACTGCCTCACTGTCCGTGCAGCCAACACAGCTGGGGTGGGGAAGTGGTGCAAGCCCTATAAGGTGAGCCCAGGGAGCAGAAAGGCCCAGGGTCAGGGAGGGAAGTTTGACCCAGAAAATGAGGGCATTGAAGGTCAGAACCACTGCTCATGACCTTGCTTACTTGCTTTCCTTCTGCCTGGGCCAATAAGCATTAATTCCACACTGCTTTCTTCTGGGAGGTATAGGGGTTAAGTTACTCCAGGGTCCATGGACGAATGCAAACTGGTAAAACAGTATCTTCACAATGCTTGTCTTCCAAAGCTATTAGTTTTTAGATTCCTTAGCTCAGTACCAATAATTGTGAGTGACCCAGAATTGTGGGGAGAAAGGAGAGACTCAAGTACTGTGGAGGTGGCAGGGATCTGGGGTAGAAAGTGTTTCAAGAACGCTTTGGCAGAAATAGCAAGATGATCTGCATCTTGCTTCTTCAGGACCTGTCTCCTGGGACAAGGACTAGGTTAGATGAAATCTCACTGAGCAGACAAAAGATGGGAGATAGAGATGAAATGAGAGCCTGGCTGTGGCATTCTGAGGGTTTCTGTTTTATTTCAGTTTGCAACTGTGCCCACTGACTTCAACAGCTTCCCTGAGAACAACCCCATCCAGGTCACTGTGCAGCGTAGACAACCTCAGCGGAGGACAGTGTCCATGACAATGGAGGAGATGCGGAGGCTGGAGGATCTAGAATACCTACATCCCTACTAGGGAACTGGGCCCAGGATATCCCTCGCCTAATCAGCCTTGGCCCTAGGTCCTCCAGAACCAGAACAAGGAGCTGCTCTGTATCAGCAGCACCGTGTTAGAGAACCACCAACTACCCTGCCAGCCCACGGCCTGGGGGCAGATATAATGGAGCCTCCCCTCAGGTCAGGGCCAAGGATAGCTCTATTCATCTGGAGACATCTTGGGCCAGGCCAAGTTCAGCTACCTACTCACAGCTGCTAGGCTTCCTCCTTCCTCTGACCTGAGCTGGTTCCAGGTCCCCCCTCATTAAAGAACTGCAGGCCCATCCGGCACCCTGAAATTCTGCTTCCTGCTGCTGTAAGCCTCAGTCGGGCCATAGCACCTACCTCTTAGCTTCTGCCAGGACCAACAGTCCAGATGGTGGTAGAATGGTGGAATGGGGACAAGGGTGGCTGGGTGCCAGGCTGCCACTCAAAGGCTAAACTGTTCTTCACCAGGAAGGACAGCACTGTCACCTGTCAGCACCTGATGTGAATGGCTGAGTTCGGTGCTGCAGAGGCCAGCTTTGGGGCAGGCTCTAGTTGAATCCTCTTTACACTTATGAGGCACAGACAGGTCATTATGTGTCCTGTGCTCAAGCAGCTCATCCAAAGTATGAGAACCTCTGCATACAGGCACAAAGTTTCTGTGACAGAATGACAAGTGCTTGGTAGCAAGCAGACCTGCCACTGCTGATATGTGATGGAAGGCTGAGTACCACAGCTGAGTGATGTGTGAAATCATAAAGCATAGAGGGAGCGGGAGGCTGAGAAGGACCCATTACCAAGCAGACCCAGAAGTTCCTCCAAAGGTGAGAAGACAATGCTAAGCTCTGGCTAAGCACTTGGAGCAACAGAAAAGTGGCAGGTGCACACAAGACAAAGGTCTTGGCCAAAGGCCTGAAACAGTGGGAGGGGATGCCCTTCATTCTCCAAAGACCCCAGAACAGTCATCCCTATCACACCGTCCCACTCTGCTGGAGCTCTCATGGTGCTCCCCCCCTGCCCCCACCACTACCTTGCTAGAGGGGAGCTCTCTGGAGCGCTCATGGCCTTCCTCTCTAGCGTGAGGGCCCAGCATAGTGCCAAGGGTTTGGCAGAGCTTCAAGTGCTATGCCAGGAAAGGCAGCAGGACTTTCTGTCATCTAATACCAGACCCATAGTAAACAGAACTGAGAACAGGGTCTCTAGTACATAATTCTGGTTTGTGCAAACAGGCACATGGCCAGCGTAACCTCGGACAGCACAGCCTTAGTTACCCCCTTCTGTGGCCACTGTCACACTGGAATCTCCCTTACAGGAAACGGGAAGAAGGGCAGCTTCCTCGTCACCATGGGTTGCTGCCATCCAATGCGGGAGAGGGCCAGATGGACCTTCTGGGTCCTTGACTGAGCACTGGGGCTCTAGGACAAGCAACTGTAACCCAAACACACAAAATATAAGTTATTTATTTGGCCCCATAGCTTGAGGTCTAAGCCTGAACTGCTGAAACTTAGGAGGTGGGAGCCACAAAGGCCCAACACGGAGCTTTTCCACTGCTGTCAGCACCAGCAAGGAGAGAGACCCATGGCTTAGACAACCTCCTGTGACTCTGTGCCACAGGGAGACCTGTCGTGGGCAGGTGGCCACATGCATTTGATCTCCAGCAGGGCAGGCAGAGGCTGAGTTCAGGTGCGGTGAGAGCTGTAGGAGTCTTCATCTCCTCCATCTGTGGGGAAGGCAAAGTCAGGAGAGGAATCCAAGCTGCCTGCGGCAGTGCCAAGAGCCTGGTACAATCCCTGCCTTAGCTTTAAACTGAGTCATGCACTCCCCACCTACCTGGGTCAGGACCTCCCGTCTCCCCTCCATCCTGCCCTGCCCTGCAACGCCCACCAAGCAGCCAGGAGCCTTCACAAGCACAGTGCATTGGGTGTCAGTGTGTTCGCCTTCTCAGTGACCTTCCTGTCTAGAAAGGTTAAGGGGTTCCCAAGAGACAGGTGAACTATATACTCTGTGCCTGCACACTGGCAAGGAAAACCAGGATCTGAACACGGGTCCCATGACTGCAAAGCCTGATGCCCTAGCAAAGACTGCTGCATGTTAGAGACCTGGAGCTGCTGCCAGGGTCTCCACTACCCACTACCTCAACTACGGCGAACCTAGCTCCTACAACCTCCCTCCAGAGCACAGGAATGCCCCTTTGAATCCCACGTCCATGGCAAAGAGCAGAGAGTGGCTGGCCAGGGTAGGAGGGCCATGCACCCCACCTCCCCACACTTACATCCGGAGGCACTTGTCTTTTCCACCACTTGCTACTCTCTGGCCATCTGGGCTCCAGTCAACAGCATATACCTAAACCAAAGGGGGAAGGACAGTGGCATGGTGAGGGGAGGAGAGCCAGGGCCAGACACAATCCCAAGCCCCATGGGGTGAGCCCTACCTCATCTGCATGGCCTGGCAAGTCCATGGCCAGTTTCTGAGCCTTCACATCCCACACCTTTAGTGTGCTGTCACTGCTGCCGCTGACCAGCAGCCGGCTGTCAGCTGACCATGCAATCTGGTACACGGCAGCCACGTGGCCACGCAGGGAAGCCAGGTACCTGGGCCAGGAGAAGCCAGTGGTGAGTATTAGATCTTCAACATGTCCCTATGCCCACAGCAGTGGTTCTCAACCTGGCTGCCTGTTAGCACTGCCTGGGAACTTCTACAGAGTCGTGCTGCCCGGCCCCCATGCCAGACCATTTTAATCATTGCTGGCATTATTAGTTTGCAAAACATCTGCAGATGAGCTGCCAAATGTTGCCTCTTGCCAAACCTCCAGACCCGCACAACTCTTAGTGCCCCGGAGTCCAGTGCGGCCACCTGCTTAGCCCATCTGTCTGCATCCCCCAATGCAGCAGTTCCTTATAGACAAGTGGCCTGGAATAACAGTGGGTCAGGCCCACCTGGAGCTCTGAACTTAATACAGCCTTGCTGAGACATCTGAACAAGCTATTAGGTCTCTCCAAGAATCCATTCCCTTATTTTAAAAAGGAACTGAATTAGTCCATTTAAATGAATTGCTCTGTGGAAATACAAAATGATATGGGCTTCCCTTTGCCCCAACAAGGAGGTTCCCCTGGCTCCCTTTCTGTCTGTGCATACTTATGCTTGCCTCCTCACCCCAGGGCTTTTCAAACTTTAGCTGCTAATACAAGCTTCAGAAACCTACTTACCACTTCACCTCCTCTAGGGCTGTTGTGTCCCTGGCCGTTTGGCTAGCTATAACTCTACAGCTAAAGATGCCACTTCACCATTTTTAGTTCAGTGCTGAGGTGAAAGGTCTGCCTATCAGACAAGAAGCAGAGGCCAGGGAAGCCAGATCCCTGCCAGGGCCACATAGTAGCAAGGGGCATCACCATGCTCCTGCCCCACCCCACTGCTAACAAGAGACAGCCCCTAGCACTCTACTCACTTGCCCGTCCTGCCATCCCACAGCTTGATGGACTTGTCGAAGGAGGCACTGGCCACGATGCGTGAGTCAGGAGAGAAGAGCACCTGGTTGATGAGGGCCTGGTGTCCTGTCATCCGTACGAGGGGCTTCTTGTCCTCTGCTGGGGACCACAGGAATAAGGTGAAGTCGTCTGAGCCAGACACCAGCCTCTCTGGGCCTTGGCCCTGGGCAAGAAAGAACAGGATGTTGGATGTGGTCAGATAATGCTATGCACACCAGGGAGAGAGGCCAGGACTAGGAAAATGATGCCTGGCATGGACACAAGCTCACATGTAACCAGACTGGCCACTTTACCTATAAAGAAGGAAATTCTAGGGTAAGTGGAATGAGTCCTAAGATACATAATTACAAAGCAAGGAACAGAATGTTGCTAAAAGGGGACAGATTTCTTATGTGGGTTGTGTATCTGTATGTATGTACCGCATGTTCATAGTATGCATATGCAATCTGCTAGGGTAGCACTGGATGCTTCCAGAAAGACTGTATGACTGCGTAAAAGATGGGAGATGTGGGCTGGAGAGATGGCTCAGCAGTTAAGAGCACTGAGTGCTCTTGCAGAGGACTGGGGTTTGAATCTCAGCATCCACATGGCAGCTAACGACCATCTGTAACTCCAGCTTCGGGGGATCCGACACCCTCTTCTGACCACTGCAGGCATTGCAAGACATGGGTGCACTTACATACATGCAAGCATATCACATATACATATAAAATAAAACTAATAAAATATTGGGCTGGATGTGGTGGCGCATGCCTTTAATCCCAGCACTCGGGAGGCAGAGGCAGGCAGATCTCTGTGAGTTCAAGGCCAGCCTGATCTACATAGTGATTTCCAGGACAGCTGGGGCTACAGGGAGACCGTCTCAAAAAGACCAAAAAATAAAAGAAAAAATAAAAAAAGATGGGCGATGTTATCAGAATCTCAGACAATACAAATGTGTTCCTTAAACAACAAATAAGATATAATAGTAGTAAATAAGATAAAATAGAAGTAAAATGATCCCTGGTGCATTAAGATTTGAAGATTACAAAGGATGATTATGAAGAACAACTTTTTGGAATAGAAACACTGAGCTGGGGCTGGGAGAGGCCCAAGTGTCTGTTTCCGTGACCAGCTGAGGAGGGTTCGGAGCTGGGGCTATACACTACTGGTACATACTTACCCGCACCAGGTTGTAGCGGCTCAGTGCCCTCTCCTTCAGCTCCTTCACTACAGGTAACCAAAGGGGAGAGGAAGAGATGAGGAACAAGACTGATGAGCAAATCCACCACAAACACAAACACACCCTAAAGCTGGAGAACTGGCTTCTTCCCAGGCAGCCCACTCCCCTCCTCCCACTAACTCACAGGACCCCTGCAGGTCTTGGGCATTAACAGTGGCTTCAGCAGGCTCAAAGGCCCCTGTGCGCAGGGCATAGTCTGTGCTGAGTGCCATGGTGTTCACCCAGTGGCCATGGCCTTGAAGAGTACGGCACAGCACACCCTAGGGAAGGAAACAGATCAGATACACAGATACACACATAACACACTTTAGGATCAAGTGAACAGGTCAGAGACCCTATCCTCCACCTTGGGATGATGACACGGGACAAGAATCAAGACCCCAAGAATTCATCACTCATTCACTGTGATCTCAGTCAAAACACCCATCTTCATTTGAGAAGTCAGAGTACTGCCTGTTTCAGGGCAGAGAAGTACATCAGAATCAAAGGGTCCCTCTAGTCAAATGGGTTTGGATGTGGTGGGTGGCAAACAGCTAAAGAGACTCTACAGCAACCCTGGGATCCCCACAACACTGCAGCACTGACCACTGAGCAACTGTTCTAAAAGCAGACTGGGCTCCCAGGACACATTCTGGAAATGCTAGACTCCCCAATGTCAAGTTTGTGCCCAGGACCAGCCCCATAACCCATGATTGCCAGAGTAGTTTCTGAATCCTCCCAGTCCTTACGTCATGGGCCCTCCAGACTTTGATGGTGCGGTCCTGGGAAGCAGAGTACAGAAGCCCATCCCCTCCCCACCGGAGGCAGGTGACTGACTGCGTGTGCCCGGTGAGGATGCGTTCACAGCGGCCTGCCGTTGTGTCCCAGACCCGTACACTGCCATCTTTGGAGCTGCTGGCCACATAGCGGCACTCGGGGTTCCTAGCATGGGGGAAATGTGACTTCAGTTCTGACCTGGCAGTGCCTGTCTGCCCAGCACAACTCATTCCCAACTCAGAGGCCAGGGACAATCTCTTGACAACTTTCAGCACCCAAGATCTGACTGCACAGCAAGGCTGCATTCAAGCCTGTGACAGACAGCGTCCCTCAAGCAGCAGGGTGGGGGTGGGGAGGGGGCAGCTCTGCATGGAAAGCTACCCCCACCACTAGCTGAGCTGTCACCCACATCCAGATGCTTCTCTCACCCCCTCCAGAAACCATCTCTGCACTGAGCCCGGGAAGGGGCAATTTTGATTCTGGCTCATTTGTCTCAGCTTGGCGTCACTTACACATGGAGAGGCTCCCAGCTCAGGGCTGTGATCCACTTGCTATGACCGACGAGGGGCCTGCCCACCTGCATCCCCGTGCTTGGATCCCACAGGAGAATCTGAAGGACAGAAGCTCACTGAATAACCCTCTGCAACCCGTCCCACCAAAGGTTCCCCCAGCAACCCCAGCCTCCCAGCCCTCCCTAAAGATCCTAGAATCTGATTCCTTGTCTGTCCAATTCCCCTAGTTATCCTGACACTACCTACCTGGCCATTCTTGCAGCCTGAGGCCAGTTTCTTGCCATCTGGGGACCAGGATATGCTCAGGACCCAGTGCCGGTGTCCTAAGAAAGCAGGGGAAGGAGAAAGGACTCCATTCACCTGTCTAGTGCAGAGCACTGCATAGCATATTACAGGCCCTCCTTAGCCAACTGTCAAATAAATGTACTGAACTAAAGGAGACTTAAGGCTTCCTTGGCCAAGGGAGAGCACACCCCAAGCGCTCGAGCCCTGCATCTTACTGCAGCTAACACTGTCACTTTCTAGTAAATTCCTTATGTGACAAATGGTATTTGGAGTTTCCATACACACCATCCCTTCTTATAACAGCTCTATGGCAAAGCAAGAACTATCCCTGATGTTTTCCAGATGCAAAAACTAAAGCTTAGATAGGGAGTATATCCTCCTGGGGGACTCTCCTAAGGTGGACCCCCAGACTAGCAGTATCACTTGGAACTTGTTAGAAATGTAAATTCTCAGGCCTACCACAGATCTACTGAACCAAAGCTGGGCGGTGGGGGAAGAGGAGGATGACAGGGATGGGGACCTAGCATTCTGATTTCAAAGTCCTCCAGGGATCTGTGCTAAAGTCTTGAGGACCCACATTGTGGCAGGGGTTGACATTAAGTCACACTGATCCTGCTACCAGTGGTTCAACTGGATGCGGTGAGCTGGATGGTAAATTGTTGGATTCTGCTGTGCACTCCCCCAACCTCCACCCCCAAGCTATAGAGCCAGTGAACCAACTGCTAAACACTGTGGTAAGACGCTTAAGTGGCTAAATGCATGCTGACCTTTGCATGTGAAATGTGGTGTCTCAGTGCTGAGATCCCAGAAGCGCACAGTGGTGTCTCCAGAACCACTGGCCAGGTACCTGGGGAAGAGAGGCAGCTTGACTGTTGCAGTGGTGGGGCCCACCCTTCGACACTGCACATGTACATTCCTGCTGCCTATCCAACCATCTTCTGGGTACAGACTCTCTTTTCCCTGAGGAGAAATACAACACTGAAGCTACCTGGGAAAAGACCCCAGGAGGCCACTTCTTTCTTCTTCCTTCCTGATATAAACAGCTAAGGCTATGTCCAGGGTTTAGAAAACTATTATTATTGTTGCCATGGCTAGGGATGGAACCCAGGACCTTACATATGCTAAACAATCACTCTAGCACCGAACCACACCTCCAGTCCTGACTTCCTTGAAGTGTGAGAGGAAAATGACTCTTATTTTCACAGGGAACAGACTCAGAAAGACAGAGTAACTTGCTCTACTCACACAGCCTGGAAGATAGCTCAAATCTCCAGAAGTTCAAGATGGGATCTTCCCAGGCAAGGCATCCTTAGCCTTTTGGGATCAAACCCCAACAAAGTCTCCTACTTACAGCCTGAATCCACATCTCAGGTTTATGGCAGGCAGCCTAAAGCCGCATGGATCATAACTGTGACCGGCTCTTCCCACCCTAGTTGGAGGTTGTACCACCACAACCCATTCATAATTTTGCCTGCTATCCTTACTTTCCTGTGGGGCTGAAGGCCACAGAAATGACTGCTTCACTGTGACCCTCCAAGGAGCTAGTGCAGCGTGTCACAGCCCGGACCCTGAAGACAGCCTGAGGTTGGTAGATGATGTCTAGGACTTTCTCTGTCTCCACAGACTGGGACTCCAGCGTTTTTCCCAGTGAGGACACAATCTCAGCATCGTGGACGTAGAAAGCAAGGGGCAGAGGCTCCTCCTGAGGGCAACAGAAAATGGAGTAAAGAAAGGGGCAACTCTGCTAAAGATGAGCAGAGGTCACAGTGTTCAGGGAAGACAGACTCCCACTGAACTGTGGGGGAGGAGGCTGTCTTTTCAGACCCCCTGCTTGGGATAACCCCCCTTTATTCTCCACCATGAGCAAAACCTTTTTTTTTTTGTCTTTTTGAAGCAGGGTCTCCCTGTAGCCCCAGCTGTCCTGGAACTCACTATGTAGACCAGGCTGGCCTTGAACTCACAGGGATTCGCCTGCCTCTGCCTCCCAAGTGCTGGGACTACAGGCGTGAGCCACCATGCCCGGCTGAGCAAGACCTTTTTAATCCTTGAAGAACAATCTTAGGACACTCACAGCATTCTGAAATCCTTTATCTGCATCTCACAACCCTGGGAAGTAGGCATTAATATCCACACTTGATGGATTTAAAAAATAAAACGTTTAGAGCAGCTAAATAATTAGCTCGATGTCCTGTTGCTAATGACTAATTCAGGTCCTTGGTGTTTTTCAAGGTCCCAGACCAGAGTCAACATGTAGCATTCTATAGTGTTTTGGAAAACATCAACACTACGGTGTATCTGTGTAGCAAATATTCAAAGGACTGTTTGAAAATGCAGACCAGGGTTTCGCACAGTAAGGGGTTGGGATCCAGGGGATGCTGCCCACGCCACCCCACCAGAAGGATGCACTTAGAGACACTGGCATAAAGGTTAACAGCACAGGTTTTGAGTCAGATAGATCTAGGTTCCAATTCCAAACCTAGCATGTTAAGAATTTAATCCCTCCAGGCCACGCTGCAAAATGGGGTTACTGATATGGGGCTGTGACAGGGAGTCACGGAACTACTCTCGAAGGGTTCGGAAGGTAGCCCTGTCCGCAGGTGGCCTGGCTGGTTGGCGTGCAAAGCACTTTTTCCATGATTCTAGGTGCTGCCGGACACCAGGCGCGATACCCACAACTGGTAAGCGGCAGGGTCCCCGGAACCCCGCGGCCTCGGGCTCGGGGTGCTCACCTGGGCCAACAGCGCGTTGCACACGAGCTGCAGCTTGTCCGGCGTGATGTCCACGGGGACGTCGAACGGGGAGCCGAGCAGCTGGCCGCCCTCATCCTGGAACTGCACTAGTAGCCGCTGCACGTCGCCCGCTGTCGCCTCGTCCTGCGCGAACAAGCCGAGAGGCTGTCATCCCAGCTGCCGTACCGTGAGAACCCTTCCGCCTCCCTCCGACGTGGGAACCCAACCCGGCACCCCTGCCCAGCGCTCACACCCACCTCCGCCGCCATCCTGCGTTCCCACGTGGAGGAGAGGTGAGGCGGAGGGACAGAGCGCCGTTTGGGTGGCCTGCAGGCCTGCCGCGGGCCACAGCGCCCTCTCGTGTCCGGAGGAGAGCATCTGTCTGCGTGGTGGGAGGATTGCAAAGCGGCTCCCTAGGCGACCTCCACAGCCTTCCACAGCATGTAGGTGCACACCGCTCACCAGGAGGTTTCTTTGCAGCTTTAGTATATGAAGGAAGCCAATGCGTCGAGAAGTTAATCGATTTGCCGCACACAACCCCCGACGACTAACAGATGCAGGAAATGGTGGGGCGTTCCAGGGGTGAAAATGTAAACCAGAAACTGACTATAGGGTTGAAGCAGAAACTTTATTAATTTGTTTATTTGTTTTTGACATAGAGTTTTGATAGTAGTCTAGGTTGAACTTGAACTCCGTGATCCTCCTGCCTCAGCCTCCCAGGGAGGTGGGATTACAGGTGTCACCGTGTCAGCTCAGCTGTTTTGTTTTTTTCTGAGCTCTTTCAACGTGTGGCCTCTTCTGTTACAGTGTTTTGCACAAGCAGTTTACTCTGTCTGGAACTGTTATGGACAGAATTGAGTCTCCCCTCCCCTCATGCCTATGTCAAAATAATACAGACCCTACAAGAAAGCAATAAAAGTTAAAGGAGATCACAAAGGTAGAGCCCTAGCAGAGTGGGCCAATGGCCTTGTAAGGGAGGGAACCTTCAAAGAATACACCCTGTTCCTCTGTTCTGTCTCTATCTCTCCACCTCTACCCAGGCGCTGAGCACATACAGAGGAGACCATGTGAACCCAGAAGGAGGCTGTCTGCAAGGAAAAGAGAGCATCCTACCTGTAGCCTGAAAATGGTCTGGAGGCAGGGCAGGCAGGCCTGGGAGGCTGAGGGTGGTGGAGGTGAGAGGTAGGGCTGTGAGGCAGCCCCTGTCCTGACAGGGATGGGCCATCATCCTGGCCATCTCACCTGGAACCCTTGGCTTGGAAAAGGTGCTTCTTACTGCCTGGACCACTGCTCTGAAGAGACCAAGCTTTCACCAGGTCACAGTTGGCCTTTTGCCCAACGCGGGCAATTTTCGAGCCTTTTGAGATCAAACCCCAGCAAAGTCTCCTACTTACAACTTGAGCCCAGACCTCAGGTTTATTGCAGGCAGCCTGAAGCTTCATGGATCATAACTTCCACTGGCTCTCCCCACCCCAGTCAGAGGCTGCACCACCACAACCCATTCACGATTTTGCCTGCTGTTCTTACTTTCCCATGGGGTTGATCATGTACTCCTCAGCTCCAGAGTTGTGAGAAGGTACGTGATAGGTAAAAAGTTGGCGGAGAACGAGCGAATGGATGATGAGGCACCGAGGCACAGCTTAAACTCCATCAAAATAGGGTTTATTAGCAAAGGAACACATGGGGCAGATTCCCTTGCAGGCAGGGAAAATGTCTGCCCGGGTCTTGAGCTGGGGTCTTTTAAAAGGGAGGCTTCTGCTTCCTGCAGAAGGCGGGAAGATGTATTTTTTTTTAAAGTTGGGGCGTGGAGTGGGAGAACGGGACTGTTAAAACCTGTCCTTTTTAGAGATCAAAGGGGAAGCCTGCTGTGTTGGCCAAACAGTGGAGAAAAGTCTGCTTCTCTTGACTTGAAAGACCAAGGTGCTTATCAGCTAGGTTCCCTTTTCTCAGGAGCATGAGAAGTCCTTGGGATCTTGTTGGTGAGGGGGCAAGGCTATCTGAACCTTAACAGTAAACCTGTCGTGTAAGCCTCTGAGCCTGTGGTATTCTGCTATGGCAGCCTCCATGGGCCAAGACAGGATAGTTCCTCATTGCTCATCCTCATTGTCCTAAACTGTCATTCATTCATTCATTCATTCATCCATCCATCCATCAACCAAATGAATTGGGCACTCACTCTCTGCCAGACTTTGATCTGGGAACTCCACAGAGATTAACTCAATTATCCTTTACTCAAGGAACCCTTTCCTAAACTGTTATCTTTGTGTGTGTGTGTGTGTGTGTGTATGTTTTGCAAGCATCCTGGTTTTCTTCATTACCAATTCCATTTCCTGTTGTACAGGAGATGCGGAAGAAATGCTTGTGAAATGAATTACTAAATCAGGAATTGAATGTAGGATCACTTGGACCAAAAGTTGTAGAACTGAAGTTTCTCTGCTAGTGGAGAGATTATTACCTCATTGTTAACAAACAAACAACCCTATGTGTTAGGGCTGGGCCTTATATTCAGCAGTGGAATCTGTAAAGGTCACATAGCTGTATATCCATATGTCCAAGGTCACAGGTATACCTGCAGAATCTAGTGAGGGTAAACCCCCCCTTTTCTTCAGGGTCTTTCAGATGATTCTTAAACTATATAGGAGGAAGGTGGTGAAAAGAGATGAGAGGAGCAAAGCATCAACATGAAGATCTTTCATTCATTCATATTCATTCAGAAAAGACACATGGGGCACTGACTGCCAGGCCCTGAGCCTGCAATGGTGATGGGAAAACTTACTGAGCAGCTGGTCTTGCCCTCCTGTAGAACACAGCCTAGAGAAACTGAAAGATAGGGGAATTGTTTGCCATGGCACCCTCATCGGCTGAGGAGAAGCAAACAATGCTTGCTCCATAGAGACCCCTCTGCCATGGTGAATGCTGCTTGTGAAGAGGGAGCCTCCTCTAATCCTAATCCTGGGAGCTCTGGATCAAAGGAAGTGTTACAGTCTTCAGCCTTAGGCAATTCCAGGTCTTACCTAAACCTTACCCTGGGATAATTAAGTCTGATGGGGGAGGAACAGAGAGTCCTCAAGGAGCTCACAGCTAGATGGGGGAATAAATATGTTCATCAACACCGACCAGAAGAGACAGGAGACAGGAAGTTCACTCAACAGCAACCTCCTCACAGCACATGGAATAAGCCAGTCCTGCTGGGCTTTCTGAAAAGCAAGGGCACCCACAAGCAAATGCAGAAAAATACATTGAGTGGAGAACATGTATGAGGGGAGAACATGTATGAGAAAGGGCTCTTCCTTCACTCCACTTCCCCCCTTGTTCCAGAAAGGCATTTCTGGAAGTCTCCAGTTGGTCTGGGACCTGGGCAGCTGCTCTGTGTCCAAGTTTATCAGCCCCTCAGCTGTCACTCTGCTCCCAAAATAGCAGTGGTTGGGGGAGGGTTGTTTATCTGGGATGGAGGTAGGGAAGGGGCCTTATAACTTTGCCTAGAAAGGACCTATCTTGGGGGCAGGGGAGAGAGTGTTTCCATCTTTCTGGATCTTTCTCTTACTCTTTGCAGTATGAGTCTCAAGTCCTGCAGAAATATCTGAGTGGGGTGCTCAAGGGCTGGGGTAGTCAGTCCCTCCATGTGATCATGAACGTCCAGTCCAGAAAAGGGGAGGGCCCTGTATCAATGACAGCCTCCAGGGGCACCTGGCCCTGTGGCCAAATATAGTCTGGACTTGCTGGCTGGGACGATAAAGTCTGCTGGGTGGGGGCTGGGAGTGGTACACAGAGGCTGGCCGAGGCGGACTGCTGACCTCAGAGCAGCACCTAAGAGAAGGTGTCCCTGTGGAGAAGGTGAGCTGGTTGGGAGACTGGGCAAGGAGAAGCACTGACCATCATCAGGCCTGCATGGGAGGGAACTCAGGCCTTGGGGAAGTGCCATCACCCACCTAGCTGGGAGGGATAGAGAGGAAGGTACAGGGGCTCTAACATCCCTCTCAACTGGGGCCAAACTCCAAGCAAGCGTCAGTGCCCTTTGGGAGCAGTGAACTTGGGGGTGCTGTGGTAGATCTCTTCTAGGTAGATTCCCATTGTCCACTGTGGTGGGGCAAAGCTGGGGCTCATGACCTCATCTCAGAAGTCCTCCCCTGGGTCTGCAGCAAGAAGCTGACCACACAGGGCTGCCTGTGTCCTGACAGATGGCAGAGGCAGAAGCAGCACAGCTGAAGGAAGAAGGGAACCGGCACTTCCAGCTCCAGGACTACAAAGCAGCGACCAAGAGCTACAGCCAGGCCCTGAAACTGACCAAGGACAAGGCCCTGCTGGCCACACTCTACCGGAACCGAGCAGCCTGCGGCCTGAAAATGGTCTGGTGTAGGGCAGGCAGGCCTGAGAGGCTGAGGGTGGTGGAGGTGGGAGGTAGGACTGTGAGGCAGCCCCTGTCCTGACAGGGATGGGCCATCATCCTGGCTATCTCACCTGGAACCCTTGGGTTAGAAAAGGTGCTTCTTACTGCCTGGACCACTGCTCTGAAGAGACCAAGCATTCACCAGGTCACAGTCGGCCTCTCGCCCAGTGCGGGTGATTTTTGAGCATTGTGCCACTCCTCTTTTTTTTTTATTATTAATATTTGTATTTTATGTGTATTCGTGTATTGCCTGCACGTAGGTAAGTGCACATGTGTCATGCAATGCCTGCGGAGGACAGAAGAGGCTGTTGGATCCCCTGGGACTGGAGTTACGGACAGTTGTTAGCTGCCATGTGGGTGCTGGGATTCGAACCCAGGTCTTCTGCAAGAGCAGTCAGTGTTCTTAACCGCTGAGCCATCTCTCCAGCCCTGCAACTCTTAAGAACAGCCTGTGACAGCCCTTATTGTCATTCCCATATTGTAATGAAGAAATCCAAGGGTCAGAGGGTGTTATTAGCTCCAGCAAGCTCTATGGGGAAAAAGGAGCTGGGATTCAAACCCAGGGTTGCCTCATATGAAGCCTGCCTGCTTTTCTGTTCTAGACAAGGAGCACATTGTGCTCCTCTGGCTGCCTGCGGATCCCCGACTAACTTCTCTTGCTTAGGGTACACTGGTTGTCTCTGCACTGGGCCTTCACCAATGGAGCCTCTTCTTTCTTGTTTCTCAGGAGAGCTATGCCCAGGCAGCTTCAGATGCTTCGAGAGGTGAGCCCCTCCCTCTACCCTGTCCTAGAAAGGGCCCTGCAGGGGCTTGGATCTGGCTCCCATTATTTGGAGGTACTGACAGTCTATGGATTTTGAAGGGCAAGGACCAGCAGGAGAAAGGAATGAAAACATCTGGCAATATTTAGCTCAGGGAAGACAATTCCCAGGTGGGATGGAGAGGGTTGGGTTTATTCTCATGGGCTCTAGGACTAGGCTTAGAATCAAAGGACAAAGGTACAGGGAACGTATTTCAGATAGGAATGTGGAAAGGTTTTCTGATGGAGTTGACTGGCTGTCTTGGAAAGGAGGGTGCGCTAGGGGATACAAGCACCAGTCAGATGGGCCTTTGACAAGAATCCTGTGGCAGAGGCTGGAGCCTCAGGAATTGAATGGGAAAAGGGTGTGTGTGTGTGTGTGTGTGTGTGTGTGTGTGTGTGTGTGTGGTGTTGGAGGAATGAATGATAGAGCTTTTTAAGCTTTCTTCCAACCTTGAGACTCTATGGAACTTCTCCCTAACAAAGTGATGCTGTGAGGCAAATAGATCACGTGGGTGGATAATCTCTGAAGGCACAATTCCTGGGGTAGTGGAGTAGGGAGAAGCAGTCTGCAGCCTGGTCCCCTGATGACCTGCCTGTCTCCCCTTTATAGCCATTGATATTAACTCCTCCGACATCAAGGCTTTATATCGGCGATGCCAGGCACTGGAGCACTTGGGCAAGTTGGACCAGGCCTTTAAGGATGTGCAGCGGTGTGCCACCCTTGAGCCTCGGAACCAGAACTTCCAGGAGACACTGAGGAGGCTCAACACCAGCATCCAGGAGAAGGTAAGCCAGGTGCTTCCTAAGAACCTTAATTGCTTCCATCTCATTCCTAGGAGAGATGAGCTAGGGAAGTAAGACATGAGGACAGAGTCTGTCCTGTTGCTATGCTCTGAACACGAGTCAGCACATGGCAGTAGCCAGCTGGGTAGGTGCATCTACCTGTGAGTGATGAAGAGAGGCTGTGATCCTGGGTGAGGACACAAGCTACCAAGGGCTGGAACACAGGTCTTTTAAAAGAATTATGATCCCCTAGTGAGTCTGCTGCATGACCTTCTGTTTCTAGGAGAGGAAAGGCAGCCTGGGATCCTTGTGAGCCCAGGAGATTAATGAGGGAAACGGTCTGAGTTTGTGGGAACGTGAGGTATTTGCTGAGAAGATGGACAGAGTAGGGAAAAAAGTCCTGCATCCTCATCTTGGCTCAGCCCCTGACTTTCTGAGGACCCCTTAGAGGTGTTGACCTCTTATAAGATCAGGGATGCAACAGCTCATTATGCTCCCTGCTACAAATCCTAGTAACTCCTGTGTGTCTACAGCAGCTGGGGCAGGACTAGGTACACTATCTGGGGTGCAGACTCAGGGCTGGGGAAATGGAAAAGAAGGGAAGATCAGAGAAGGTGTGGGTGAAGGAGGAGTCTGCCCACCCCTGAGGAGAAGCACGCAGTCAGGTGGAGGTGTAGAACAGCAGAGCTCAGCTGTAAGAGGCACAGAAGGAGCTGGTCAGATGGCTATTCAGGTCATGTTATGAAGAATTCAGAGCATTGGGGTTCTGTGGACGTGTGAGGGTTTGGATGTCCTAACAGAATTTTTTCCATTTGCTTAGTTTGATAATTGAGAGCTGCTTTTGGTTTATAAGTTTGGAGACAAATTTCTGCTTTAGTCCCCACTTAAATGTCTAATAGTCGATTGCTCACAAAGCTCTAAACTTGGGCTGATGATCCCTTGCCCTCCAAGGTTGTGGTGATGACCGTATGGTACAATGAATGTAACTAACTAGACTGCGAACTTGGTGGATCAAAGAATTGATTTTGTTCATCATTCTGTCCCCAGCATCTAGAACACTGCCTGGCACAAAGTGGTTATTTAGTTAACTTAAAAATTCTTTTATTACTACTACTGCTGCTGCTGCTACTACTACTACTACTACTACTACTACTACTACTACTACTACTACTACTTATTATGTGTATGTGATGAGTGTGATGTGTGTGCACGTATGTGGCAGTCAGAGGAGTTGGAAGTCAATTCTCTCCTTCCATCTTTACATGGGTCTCTCAGATCGAACTCTGGTCTTCAGGCTTGCACTACAAGTGCCTTTAACCAGTTAAATCATCCCTTCGCCCCAGTTACCATTTGCTGAATGTAAATGAATGACTGTGCTGGTGTCCAGAGTAGATACTTTATTGTTTACTGAAATGACGTATATAAAGAATAAACAGAAGTGATGTGGACCAGCTTCATGCCTCCCTCTGGGCTCCTTCATCTCTCCTCAGCTCCGTGTGCAGTTTTCCACAGACTCCAGGGTACAGACAATGTTTGAGATCCTCCTGGACGAAAACAGCGAGACTGATAAGCGGGAAAAGGTAAGTGATATGCTGTGTCGGCCAGCAGAGGGCGCGCTGACCATGCATCTCCTGCTATGTGCTTCCTGGGTACTGAGAGCGAAAGAGGGTGTTGTCCCTCAACATGGAGAACAGCTGGCCCCAAATCTGTCCCATTAGAAAACACAGCCCGAACCACAAGAAGGAGTAGGATTAGGGTCAAATCACTGTAAAGAGTATTGCAGTAGGGCCGGATGACATCTTTATTTAAAATTGGATGTTTGGTTCATTGTGAATTTTTTGGTCTTGATTTTTTTTTTTTTTTTTTTTTTTTTTTTTTTTTTTTTTTTTGTCTTTTTGAGGCAGGGTCTCCCTGTAGCCCCAGCTGTCTTGGAACTCACCATGTAGACCAGGCTGGCCTCGAACTCACAGAGATCTGCCTGCCTCTGCCTCCCAAGTGCTGGGATTAAAGGTGTGCGCCACCACACACGGCTAAAGTCTGCTTTCTTATTAAAACTCAATTTCTGTTTCTTTGGCTGCTTGGTTTTCTCCTTGTACGTGTCGTCCAGCTTTATGCTGATACTTGTTTTTTTTTTTTTAAATAATTTATTGAGAATTTCTTTTTTTATTGCCTGTGTGTAGGTAAGTGCACCCGTGTCGTGCAATGCCCGCGGAGGTCAGAAGAGTCTGTCAGATCCCCTGGAACTGGAATTACAGACAGTTGTTAGTTGCCATGTGGGTGCTGGGATTCGAACCTGAGTCTTCTGCAAGAACAACCAGTGTTCTTAACCACTGAGACATCTATGCATGCATATAAAGTGTTTTAATCAAATCCATGCCCACTTCCTCCCCTCCAACTCCTTCCATATCTCCCCATCACTTTTTTTCTGATAACTTCATATATTCTTTCTTCTTCTTTTGTTTTTATTTTTTTATGGGGCTTTGTGCTACTCTAACATTCCTCCCTCTGAAGAGGTAACCCTAAAATCTTTTAAGGATTAGATAAAAGCTCCCAAATACTTTTGACATTTTTGGCCTTTGGAATGGAGTATGTTGCTAAGAAGCCCAAGGACATTGTGAGTTTTAGCCAAGAAACTGGCTGCTTTTCTCTGGGGTCTTTTTACCCTAACTGCCTAGCCAATTCCTACCTCCTATTCTTATCACACCATCCTCTGAAGAGGTCACCCAAATTGCCAATAGGGAATAGGGACGCAGACTGCTCTGGCTTCTTCCATGCTGAACAGAGACACAGGGTGAGGAAATTGGGGTACACCTCCAGTGGGTCTATCTAAAAGACTCCCAAATTGCATAACTCTTATCACCACAAGGAGGCAGGATCCAGGCGTGCTCAGTCAGTCCCCTGCATTCTCAGCCCCAATGCTAGAGGGAGGCCAGAACCCAGCACTCTCTTGGTGGTCTGCTGAGATCACAGCTGCTACACTGATGGAGGTGGGAGCCCACCCTCTCAGGCTGTCTGCTAAGAGCTCAGCCTTAGCCTACCAAAGCCAGGTCTGCCCTGGGGCCTTGGGAGGGGCCTCACGAAAACCTAGGTAAGGGCATGGGTATGGCTCAATTAGGGGAAGCTCACCACCATGTGGAGGCAGGATCTGGGCAGGTGCTTTCAGGCAGTCCTCTGCATTCTTAGCCCCTATGCCAGATGGAGGCCAGAATCCGGCACTCTCTGGTGATCTGCTGATATCACAGCCACTACACTGAAGGAGGTTGGAACCCACCCTCTGGAAGACAATAATTTTAAAAAATTATTTATTTTTATGTGTATGAGTGTTTTGCCTGCATGTATGTAAGTGCACCACATGTGTGCAATGCCCACGGATGCCAGAAGAGGGTGCTGGATACTCTGGAACTGGAGTTACATACAGATGATTATTAGCCACCATGTAGATATTGGGAACTGAATCTGGGTTCTCTGCAAGAGCAGCCAGTGGTCTTAACTGCTGAGCCATCTCTTCAGCTCCAGAAAACAATGTTTTTAACATGTAAAGAAAGTTCATTTCTCTACCTTTCCTATCTTTCTCCATAAGCAGGCATACACAGTTTTATTTTAATATTCGTGCACTCAGAGTAAACCTATGATCTGATTCTGCTTGTCAGTCATATGTCCAAGTGACTGTTGTGTCTGTGACCAGCTGTGGCATATTTTGAGTTGGTCCTTATGCAAATCATTTTGCCTTCTTTTGGATTATGCCTTGGGGCTTGTATTCAGGAGTAGGAATACAAAATGAAAGAATGTATCAATGTTCTAAAGATATGACTCATGCATCAGCCCCTGCACTGGGCTCACAGTTAAGACCTCTGTCCAGCTCTCTGACGACCCTCGTTGCCTCTCCCTCAGGCTGCCAACAACCTCATTGTCTTGGGCCGTGAGGAAGCAGGGGCCGAGAGGATCTTCCAGAGCAACGGGGTGGGCCTGCTGCTGCAGCTTATGGACACTAAGCGGCCTGAGCTGGTGCTGGCTGCTGTGCGGACCCTGTCGGGCATGAGCAGTGGCCACCGAGCTAGGGTGAGGGCCTGGGGATGGGTGTGTGTGGTGAAGGTGGCAGTGGGTCCAAGGATCCAGAAGGTAGCCCATGGTCAAGGCTGTGGTTGGCATAAATAGAACCTGAGACAGAGCCTAAAGTGCCCTCTGACTCCCAGCCTGGGTCATATAAATCCCAACTCAAAGAGTGCTCTAGGCCTTTTCCCTGTTGAAAGTGGACGATAGGAAGAACGGAATACAAAGGCATCAAATTTTATGTTTTTCATACTCAGCCTTTGAATATGAAGGTGTCTTTTACATTCCTTACACATCTCAGTAAGGTCCTGCCACTTGCAAAGGCTCCGTGCCCCCAGGTTGCAAGGGGCTCTTGTGTGGAGTGACACAGTTCTGAGCTCTAGAAGGAGGCATCCCAGTGTGGGCCCCTCAAGGTGTTGGCTGTCTGGTTTCCCTTCCCTATATCATAGAGAGGGTGGGAGGGTTATCACCCAATTTCTAACCTGCACTGCAGCTAGAAAGGAGGGTCAGAGCTGCTGACTCTTGTTCCTGCTGGGGTCTAGGCAACCGTCATCTTGCATGCAGTCCGCATAGACCGAATCTGCAGCCTCATGGCAGCAGAGAATGAAGAGATGTCTCTGGCTGTCTGCAACCTGCTCCAGGCCATCATTGACTCCCTGTCTGGGGAGGACAAGCGGGAACATCGGGGAAAGGAAGAGGCCCTGGTTCTAGGTAGGAGGCATTCTTTGGCTCTGGTTCATCTGCTTTCCGAGAGAGAGCCAGTCACCACTTCATACAGCAGCTCCTATGTGCAGGGCTGGCCTGTTTTCATTTCGATGTGTATTTTGTGGTTTTAAGAGTGCAAGTAGCACAATCTAATGGGTACCGAGTTACAAATATTTTTTTTTTTTGGTCTTTTTGAGACAGGGTCTCCCTGTAGCCCCAGCTGGCCTGGAACTTATTATGTGGACCAGGCTGGCCTTGAAATCACAGAGATCTGCCTGCCTCTGCCTCCCGAGTAATGGGATTAAAGGCCTGCGTTACCACGCCCAGCCTCAAAGTTTCAATTTTACAAGGTGAAAAAGTGCTGTGGATGGATGGTGGTGATGGTGGTGATGATGGTGGTGATGGTTACACATCAATGTGAGTGCGTTCAGTGCCACTCAGTAGTAGACTTAAAACTCGTTAAAATGGTAAATTTTTCTTTTCTTTTGGTCTTTTTGAGACAGGGTCTCCCTGTAGCCCCAGATGGCCTGGGACTTGCTGTGTAGACCGGGTTGGCCTTATTATTATTAAAATAATAATAAAAGTATTTAAAAAATAAATATCTGCTGTGGCTGGGAGAGTCACAGAGGTATGTTCACTCAGAAAACTGTATTTTAAATAAGTTTATAGATTCTCTTTTATAGATATATTAGAATTCATCAACCAGTTTCATGTTGCTGGAGATCTGGGTCATTTCAAATTTGCATTCTTCAACACATCATTCTTTTTTTCTTAATTTAATTTAATTTGTAAAAATTTATGTGTATGCATGTATTGCCTGCATGTAGGTAAGTGCACCTGTGTTGTGCAATGCCCGCAGAGGTCAGAAGGGGCGGTCGGATCCCCTGTGGAGTTACAGACAGTTGTTAGCTGCCATGTGGTTGCTGGGATTCGAACCTGAGTCTTCTGCAAGAACAACCAGTGTTCTTAACCGCTGAGCCATCTCTCCAGCCCCAAATACTTCATTCTTTACATTACTCTGTGTTTGCATTTGTGATTACTTCCTTGGGACAAATTCCTAGGGTTAGGAGTTTCAGGCTCATAGCTGTGAAGATAACTGAAACCTTTTTTCTTTTCACCTTTCCAAGTCCTTTCTGAGAGGAATTGGACTCTCGTTAGCAAACTCAGGTCCAGAAGCTCAAGCATGAAAAAACAGTGTCTGAGAGACAAGTGCTTGAGAACAGCTGTCTGAAGAGAAATGGCTGTTGTAGGAGACAATATTCAGTGACCAGAGTGACCCTTGGACGTGTTGCTTAGGAATTTCTTTCCCTTTGCAGGGAGGAGGTATCAGACAGGCAAGGCTATCTTGGTAATTCACATGCTTCGTGTACTAGTTCCTTTTGCAGAACTGTGACCCAAACACTTGGCAGTAGCTTAAGGAAGGATTTATTTTGCTCATAGTTTCAGAGGTTCAGTTGGTAGCTGCTTGGCCTCATGTACTTGGGCAGAGCATCAGAACATCATAGTAGTGGGAGCATGACTAGAAGGAGGTTGTTCATGTCATGGTGGACAGGAAGTGGGGGAAGAAGGAAGGGAGAGAAGGGCAGAGGAGGAGAAGGGAAGGGAGGAGAGGGAGAAGGAGGAGAGAGATGAGGAGAAAGGGAGGGGAGAGAGGAGAAGAAAGAAAAAGGAGAGAGGAGAGAGGAGAGAGGAGAGAGAGAGGGAGGGAGAGAGAGAGAGAGAGAGAGAGAGAGAGAGAGAGAGAGAGAGAGAAAGGAGAAAGAAGAATTGGGACAAGAAACAGCCCTAAGGTAAGCCTTCCAAGGCAGCCACACCACCTGTTTCCAGAACGTCCTCAAGTAGCACCATCTGTGGAATGCAGACCAAGCATTCCATACACAAGACTGTGGAGCAGTGTGACATTCAGAGAGAAGTGGGTTCAGTACTTCTAGAGTCCTTCTAGAAGCTTCTGTTATTCCTGACCTTTCTTTGTGAGAATTTTATCTTCACTATCTGATCTTTTCCTCTTATTCTTCAGACACCAAGAAGGACCTGAAGCAGATCACCAGTCACCTGCTCGACATGCTGGTCAGTAAGAAGGTGTCTGGTCAGGGCAGAGACCAGGCGCTAAACCTGCTCAATAAGAATGTCCCCAGGAAGGACCTGTCCATTCATGACAACTCACGTACCATCTATGTGGTGGATAATGGTGAGGCGAGAGGGCTTGGGGCTTGGTCATGCCTTTAGGATGGGCTCAGGGTGCTTGTCACTGAGTAGAGATTAAAACAAAGTAGATTGCTGGGCGTGGTGGCACACACCTTTAGTCCTAGCACTTGGGAGGCAGAGGCAGGAGGATCTCTGTGAGTTTGAGGCCAGCCTGGTCTACATAGTGAGTTCCAGGCCAGCTGGGACACTACAGGGAGACCCTGTCTCAAAAAAGACACACACACACAAAACAACAACAACAACAAAAACAAAGTAGAAGCCAGGCATGGTGGCACACGCCTTTAATCCCAGCACTTGGGAGGCAGAGGCAGGTGGATCTCTGTGAGTTCAAGGCCAGCCTGGTCTACTTAGTGAGTTCCAGTTCCAGGACAGCTGGGGCTACAGGGAGAACCTGTCTCAAAAATAAAATAAAATAAAATAAAATAAAATAAAATAACCAGAGTAGATTTAGAAATCCCAGTACACCAGTGCAAAGCTGCAATGTGAGGTATATGTGTAACACAGATTGGGCTGGTGAGGGTTGGTGCTGTGAGAGGGTCAAACTTGAAGTGAGATCCTGGCCTTGGGAAGAGGCACAGGTGGAGAAGGAGGAGGCCCTGAGTGTGCTAATAGAAAGGACGTGAGAGGCTCAGGGCTCAGGTAGGATGGGAGGGAAGAGAGAGATGTAAGCTTAGGGAGTGGGTGAAATTGGAATAGGTGAATTGGGGGGAGGTCTTCGGGAGACAGGTTGTGGAGTTTGGGTTGGCTCATCAGGCCCTTCCAGTCATTTGTGTCATAATAAGAAATATATGTTTGGTCTTTTCACCCTCATGGTACACAACTTCTAAAACTGTTGGAATTTTCATTAAGCATCTTTTCTATGCTGATGAAAATAGTGGAAAAAGCCTGGATGGGGGAAGAGGAGACTCCAGGGGCACCGGCTACTTACTCAGAGGGTGGGAACGTCTTACCCGCCCACTCCCTCCACTCACCTACCCACACCTCAAATGAGTAGAGAGAGCCTGAGACTGAGGTAATCACTAACAGTGACTTAATTAACCATATCTACATCATGAAGCCTCTGTTTAAACAAAACAAAGGGAAATCACCTCTGATTGAGCTGGGGTTGATGAGCTCCCACAGGCTCTGGGAAGGTGGTGCGGTAGCCTCACCCCTCCCCTATATCTCTTCCAAAACCTTTTGCCATCAGGTCCATCCTGCTGCATCATCTTTCCTATAAACTGTTCTCCTGAGTTCTAGGAGCCAGTCTCACAAATGATTGACTCTGACAAGGGAGTCTGTAGTCATGTCAGGCAGAAGATGTGGCTAACCTAGGACCCCGTCCTTGGGCCTTCTATCTGCAGTGGAGGCCCTTGTAGATAGTGTCAGAGATGAGAGTAGTGGCCTGACAGTATGGTCAGAGATGAGCTGAGTTGGAGGACAGCCGGGGCTGGTGTCAGGCATGCAGTGTCAAGAGGAACAGCAGGGAAGCAGGAGTTTCTTTAAAGTAATACAATACACACAGTGTAAACTCCCTGTCAAACACTTTCAATTCTGTCCCAGTACCAGGAGCTCCATGCCTCCTGGGTTTGCCTCAACTCCTCCTCTTCTTCCCACTTACTAGTGCCACTCAAGATCAGAACAGCTCCAAGCCACTGCTGACAACTGGCTCTGAGATCAGGCTGTCCGTTGTCCACAAGGCAGCATGGCATGATGGTTAACATGGTTGACTTGATATCAGACATCGTGGAGAGGGTGTCCTTGGCTGTGTCACTGGGCCAGCTACAGGATCTTGAGCAGAGTCTTTGACTTGTCCAGTTTTGGTTTTCCGCTTTGGGAGATGGGATTAACTGCTGACTAGTAGGGTGATTGTTAGGGTTAGATCAGGGAGCACATACAAGATTCTTGGCATGCAGGACATGCTCAGATTAGTCTGCTACTCTTTTTTTTTTCAGGGAGGTGGGGATCAAACTCAGGGACTTGCACACGCCAGGCAGGCACTCTCAGTCCTCAGCCCCAATTTACAGCTCTGTTAAGCCGACTGTCCCATCTGCGTTGTTACCACTCAGCACCCATAGAGCCTTCTTGCACATTTATGTATCTGTTTTCCAGACTGCACTGAAGGCAGGATAGACAAGGGACTTGTTTATTAATCTGCTTGTTCAACAAGCATGTGACTACTGAATTAGTCTGGTGAAGGAAGTCATTGAAGATTCTTCAACAAAGAGATGAGAAGAGAGACTGATACTAAACATTAAAGAAATAACTCATTTTGGGGGCTAGAGAGATGACCCAGTGGTTAAGAGCACTGGCTGCTCTTGCAGAGGACCTGGCAGCTAACAGCCATCTGTAACTCCAGTTCCAGGGGGATCTGAAGCCCTCTTCTCACCTCCACGGACATTTCATGACACAGGTGCACTTACACACATGAAGGCAATACACTCATTCTTAAAATAAAAATAAAAATAAAGAAAACTAACTAATTTTAAGGAAGTTTACCTTAAAGTAATAAAATGCACATAGTGTAAGCTTGCTGTCAAGCACTTTTAATTCTGTCCCAGCACCCAGAGCTCCATGCCTCCTGCATTTACCTTGACCGTTCTCACTAGCACCACCCAAGGTCTGATAGTGATGGCTCTGAGTAGGCACTAGGCCGTTTCTGTACATTGTCTGACTGAGTCCTAGTCTATAAAGTAGGTAGTATTATTTCTCTTTTACAAATCAAGAAACTGAGGCCTGGGGGAAGAAGAATGTGAAGTGTATGTAAGGAAGATTATATAGACTAGCAGTGCTGGTCAAGTTCTCTGTGATCAACTAGTGTTGAATTTGAGACTGTGGAAATATTCTCAAGTGAATTGCTTAAGATAGGTGCAGAATCAGGAGGGAGACAGGGAACTCGTGTTCCTTCTCCAGTGCCCTGCACTCTGGCTAGGCTGTGTGTTGTCTGAAGCCGTAGCTGGATGGGGAGCCCACAATGAGACATTTCTGAGGGGATGGAGCCCCTCAGGAATCTCACCCTTACTGTGTCCCCCCTTAGGCCTGAGGAAGATCCTGAAGGTCGTGGGGCAGGTTCCAGACCTGCCCTCCTGCCTGCCACTGACTGACAACACCCGCATGCTGGCCTCTATCCTCATCAACAAGCTCTACGATGACCTGCGCTGTGATCCAGAGCGCGACCACTTCCGCAAGATCTGCGAGGAGTACATCACGTGAGTGTCCCTGCGCATTAGAGACCTGAGGCTGTGGAGCCAACTATCCCCACCTTTAGCAACTTACAGCCATAATAATCAATTATTACCTCTCAGTAGGATGGACTTTTGGGAGTTGTGCTGCTGGTTGGTTTTGGCTTGGGGTCTCCCATGAAGTCACAGTCATGCTGGCCTGGGCTGCAGCCATCAGATAGCTTGATGGCTCAACTGGGGCTAGAAGATGCTTCTAGAAGGCTTCACTTACATGGTGGCATGCTGGTGTTGGCTGCTGGTGAGGACTTGAGTTCCTCTCCATCTGGAACTCTCCACCAGCTGCTGAGTCCACATGGCAGCTGGTTTCCCCAATGAGTCATCAGAAATAGTGAGGAGGAAGGGCAGTGTCCCTGTACTCCAGCCTCAGCTGCCACATGCCACCATTTCCAGTGAAATCTGTTCAATAGAAAGAAGTTGTGAAGGTGGGTCTTAAGGAGTGACTCAGATTCCATCTTGTGAAAGGAGGAGTTTTCAAATATTTCTGGACAAGGGCTGAAGGTGTAGCTCAGTGGTAGAACATCTGTCTAGGCTGCACGAGGCCCTAGGTTCCATACTCAAAACTGCAAAATAAACAAAACTGGACATATTTTAGACCAACCACAGACTCCTGTGGCTGAAAGAAACATAGATGAGCTTGTCCAGAGGAGGCCAGTTCTCTCAAAAACCATGTAGCTTTGCAGAAACTCAGTAGGGGATGGAGGCTTTCACCAGCTGGGGTTCCTGGGTCTTGTCACTGCTGCCTGTCACCACAGATGCTCTTGCCAAGTCTCTCTTTCTTCTTATGTGCCCCTGCCCCTACTGTTATCCAGCCATTTGTCTGTTTAGTCCAATGATTCTCCAATTTATACATTGTCCAGATTTCTGGGACACTAGCCATGCCTCAGAATCTGGGGCGTTGCTCAGGAAGCTACATCCTGGATGAGTCCTAGGTGGGTGGGCACCACCTCTACTCTGCATCTCCTTTCTCTGCTCCCAAGGTGCGACACTGTTTCTGTAAAGGGATGGAGAGAAGATATTTTAGTTTTTGTAGGACAAGCTCCCACCTATCTATCTATCATCTATCTATCTATCTATCTATCTATCTATCTATCTATCTATCCTATCTATCTAATCTATCTATCATCTACCATCTGTCTGTCTATCTATCATCTATCTATCTATCTATCTATCTATCTGTCTATCATCCATCTATCATTTATATCATCTATCTTTTACAATATTATATTTATTATTATTAAAAATTTTTGAATTGTTTATTTTTCATGTGTATGAGTATTTTGCCTGCATGTATGTAAGTGTACCTGTGTCATGCAAAGCCCACGAAGGTCAGAAAAGGGTGTCAAATCCACTGGAGCTGGAGTTACAGATGGTTATTAGCCACCATATGGGTGCTGGGAACTGAACCCAGGTCCTCTGCAAGAGGAGCCAATGCTCTCAAACACTGAACCATCTCTCCAGCCCTTATTTATTATTTTTATTTTATTTTTATGTGTATGAGTGCATTGCCTGCATGTATATAAGTGCACCAGTATTATGCCCATAGAGGATAGAAGAGGGCATTGAATTCCCTGGAACTGGAGTTTCAGACAGTTGTAAGCCACCATATGGGTTCTGGGAACCAAACCCGGGTCCTCTGCAAGAGCCGCTATTTCTCTAGCCACTCATCCATCTATCTGTCATCTATCTATGTATCTATCTATGTATCTATCTATGTATCTATGTATCTATCTATCATCTATCTTTAAAATTTTATTTATTGTTTTTATTTTATGTGTACGAATGTATTGCCTGCATGTAGGTAAGTGCACCTGTGTCGTGCAATGCCTGCAGAGGTCAGAAGAGGCTGTTGGATTCCCTGAGACTGGAGTTATGGCCAGTTGTTAGCTGCCATGTGGGTGCTGGTATTCAAACCTTGGTCTTCTGCAAGAACAACCAGTGTTCTTAAACCCCTGAGCCATCTCTCCAGCCCCTCATCTATGTTTTTAAGCCACCAAATGAGGACTTATTCTGAGCTCTCAGCTCCTGCTAACCCCAACTTTGGTTCTTTTTCTTTTCTCTTTTTGGCACAGGATCTTATTATGTAGCCCTGGAACTCACTATGGTTGGCCTTGAACTCACAGAGATCCACCTGTCCCTGCTTCCGGAGTGCTAGGATTAAAGATATGTGTCACCACGTACCATTCAAACTTCAGTTCTTTCTTTTCTTTTCTTTTTTTTTGGTCTTTTTGAGACAGGGTCTCCCTGTAGCCCCAGCTGGCCTGGAGCTCACTTTGTAGACCAGGCCTCAAATTCACAGAGAAGCCTCTGCTTCCCAAGTGCTGGGGACTAAAGTTATGCACCACCACACCCGGCCTAACAAACTTCAGTTCTTAAAAAGCTCCTTGGTCCTTGTCCTTGCTTGTCACAGCTTCAGCCTGTCCTGCTAACTTTAGGAGTCCCTTTGCCCTTGGAGCCCAGGACCTGGTCCCAGAAGCTGGAGATAGAAGTCTGGACCTAGAAGGTTGTAGGCAAGGCTTTTTTGTTAGGACATCTGCTCCATCAAGATGGGAGATACAGCTCTGACTAAGACTAGGTGAGGCTTCCTGAACAAATGGCAGCCCTAGGAAGAGTTCCTGTCCAAAGTTGCCATTCAGGTCCTCCATGCAAATAAGGAATTCAAGCTTGCAGTGTCTAGTCCTGATTGGTCATTGTCCCGGAGCTCAGTCAAAGGCAGCTTTTTGTCAGTTGTGATGACTAGGGTAAGGCAGGTGGTGGCTCTGTTTGTACCTGTGTCTGGAGGACACATTTGTGGTTGCTGTGTTTTTAACTCTGGGGCTGTGTGTGTACCCTGGGCCCCCATTTATGCTCTTGTTTGACTTTGCTGTGAAAGCACAGAATGGGCCTGATCTCAGCAGGGCTCCTTCCTAGTATCTGATTGTTCTACCCTCTTTTTGGGTGCTCTCCCCATCCCCTGCCCACGACTGACTTCATGATATCCCAAATTGAATTCCCACTCTCATTTGACAGGGGGAGGAGCTGGGGCTTTGCTGGGGGTACAGATTGCCAGGCACCTTGCTGGCCTGTCTGTGGCTGGGGATCCATACTGTCCTCCACCATGAGCTGCTGCCTGACAGCTCTCAGCCGTGGCTTCTTTGGGACTTTTCTCAGCTCTTAGGGACTGTCTCACCCTTCCCAGTACTTGGCATCTAATGATTTGTCCCTCACCCCAATTTGGAACAACTTTTCAGGGTGCCCAAGCTCAGACCTCTTCAATGAGGTCTTTGAAATGACCACATTGCAGCCCAGTGCTTCCCTCTGCCCCATGGTGCTTCCTTCTCTGCCCAAGAGCTCTGATTAATAAGCTTCCAGCATGTCAGTCCCTAAGTCAGTGTGCTCCTGGGGGGGCATACCCTGTGACACTGCTGTGATGCCATTAGTAACAGCACTATCCTTAGTTTACGGACCAAGAAGCTGAGGCTCAGAGAGGTTCGGTGAATTGCCCAATGTCACACAAATTCAAATCGCCTCCCTGTGTCTCCCCTTTCTACTCCCTTGGTCTGGTTCTCTTGACCACCCTCATCTTCTGTTTTAGGGGCAAGTTTGACCCCCAGGACATGGACAAGAATGTGAATGCCATCCAGACAGTGTCAGGGATCCTGCAGGGGCCCTTCGATCTGGGCAATCAGCTGCTGGGCATGAAAGGTGTGATGGAAATGATGGTGGCATTGTGTGGCTCGGAGCGTGAGGCAGACCAGCTGGTGGCCGTGGAGGCCCTCATCCATGCCTCTACCAAGCTCAGCCGGGCCACCTTCATCATCACCAATGGAGCGTCACTGCTCAAACAGATCTACAAAACCACCAAGAACGAGAAGATCAAGATCCGTACACTGGTGGTGAGTGGGCTGGGTGCCACCATCCTCCCTGGATCAGACATGGCGTCAAGTTCCAGGGATGACAGGATAAATGAAATATGTTCCCCATCCTACAGGGGGTCATGCACCAGGAACCCCTCAGACCCACCCACAGACCTCTGCAGGCAGGGTGATAAACAGCGCTGTGGGGGCAGAGTCAGAAGGTGACCCTGAGTGGAGCACTGAGGAAATTCCCCTCCGGACTGTGAAGGGGTGAACATGGACACCTCTCAGAAATGAGCAAATCTTAGCAAATTCATTTCCTTAACCAGTTCCACGCAGCAGAATTAAATCTGTTTCATTTTTTTCCAATTTCATCTTACTGAAATTATTTTCATTGATTCTTTTAAAGTGTTAGCTTATAAACAATGATAGAGATTTGATTTCTTGATCTGTTATTATTCATTTTGATTTGTTTCTGTGGGTTTTTTTTTTTGAGATAGGGTTTTGTTATAGCTATGTGTCACAGTTTAGTCTTCAAGTTGCAATCCTCCTGCCTCTTCCTGAGTGCAGGGGTTTCAGGTCTGTACCAGACTGGGCAGTTTCTCTATGGAGTTCAGGCTGGCCTCAAACTCACTGTGTAGTCCAGACTGGCTTTGGACTTATGATTTCTCTACCTCTCTCTCCTGTGTGCTGGGATTACAAGACTATGCCACTATGCTCAGCTCATATAATTTTTAAAAGATTTATTTTTATTTTAAAATGTGTGTGTGTGCACACGTGTGTGCATGCACCTGTGTGTTTGTGTGTCTGTGTGTGTTTGTGCATTTGTGGGCAGGTGCCCATAGAGGCCAGAGAAGGTGTTGAATTCCCTGGTGCTGGAGTTACAGACAGTTGTGGGTCACCTGACATGGGTGCTAGGACCTGAACTCAGGTCCTCTGGGAAAGCAGCAAGCACGCTTAACCTCTGAACTCTTTCTAGATCTGTCATACTATTCTTTAAACAACTACTTTTGTAACTGGGCCTGGTGGTGCATACCTTTATTCCCAGTGCTCTGGAGGCAGAAGCAGGTGGATCTAAGGCCAACCTGATTTATACATCCAGTTTCAGGCCAGCTAGGACTACAGGAAGACCCTGTCTCAAAAAAACCCAAATCCAAACCAAACCAAACCAAACCAAACAAAAATTGTTATTTTTTGCTTTGGTAATGATGACTTTTCTGTTCCAAAGGACACTGTTGTTTGTTTGTTGTTTGTTTTTTTGTTGTTTTCCCTGACAAGGGTCCGATTTTTCCTGGGTTAAATTGTTCACATCTGAGTTTGTTGCCCACATGATATGGCTTCTCTGCCAGTTTTCACACCATCACAAGGCTTCTCACTGTGGATTCGGAGTTTTCAAAGCATCTGTGAGGTCAGAATTGTGGGGACCTCAGGCTTTGTGAGCATCCTCCCTCACACAGAGTGTGAGGATGGACATCTTAGAAGACGTGACAGCCACCCAAGCCAGGTGTATAGTACACAGAGGCGTGACCAGGCAGAGAAAAGGGAGCAGTGTTCCGACCACAGGCCTGACACAGGCCTTGATGTCACTGATCCCTTGTCTGCTTCCCTCCACAGGGGCTCTGTAAGCTTGGCTCCGCTGGTGGCACAGACTATGGCCTCAGGCAGTTTGCTGAAGGGTCAACAGAGAAGCTGGCCAAGCAGTGTCGCAAGTAAGAGGACTGTGCTTCCCAGGCCCGCCACTTCCTCATGGGCTTCTATTCAGGGTCTTTGGGCGTGTATTCCATGAAGTTAGCTAGCAAAAAGCCCCTTAGTGGCCACTGACTACTCTGAACTTGTGTTACTCTTGACTGGAGCTATGACCCCTTCTCCAGCAGCTCTCTCTCCCCCTACTTCCAGGTGGCTGTGTAACACAGCCATAGACACCCGGACGCGGCGCTGGGCAGTGGAGGGACTGGCCTACCTCACGCTGGACGCAGATGTGAAGGATGACTTTGTCCAGGACGTTCCTGCTTTGCATGCCATGTTTGATCTGGCCAAGGCAAGAGTCACCCTGACCTTCAACCTCAGGAAAGGGTGACTCAGGGGCTAGATGACTGACTCAGTGGTTAAGAGTGCATGCTGCTCTTACAGAAGACTTGAGTTTAGTTCTCAGCACCCACGTCAGGCCGCTCACAAATGCCTGGACCTCCAGCTTCAGGGGATCTGACCCCCCACTTCTAGGCTCTTGGGATACTTGTATGCATGCACATTCCTACACAGACATACACGCATACACATAAATAAAATTAAAAATTTAAAAGACAAAAGGAAAGGGTGCTTGGACCCAGCCTATAGGAGTTAGCCAGGTGTGTGCTCATCTTGCTCACCCTCCTGTGTGAAGCTGGGTTACCCTTTCCCTCGATGCCGTCATCTTGCCTAGCTGTAGGTAGTCTCACCACTGTTCCTGTCCCTGCCCTCCTGTCATACAACAGGACAGCATGTGTGCCTGTGGCCCTTGGGCAGTGAGGTACTGAGGGATGATAGATAGTGCCTGAATTCCCCTGAAAATGTAGGAGGGGGTTCCACTAGGGTTAGATCCTAGTGGATGAAACTGGGTGGGCCTGGGTATATGAAAGAGCCACCAAGCAAAGAACTGGGTGAGAAGGCTCTTGATCACATTCTCTGAGTGTTCTCAGGTCTTGGGAGGCATTTCTGGCCCTCTGTATGAGCAGAGCTTGTCTGTACTTCTCCATAGCGAGGCCCACCAGCCCTGCTCACACCCAAACCCCATGTGCCTGGGTGCCAGGGAACTGCCTGGGAAGCAGCGGCTGGTGCCAAAATTCTTTTCTGTTTTCCCCTAACCTGACCCATCCAGACCAGTGACAAGACCATCCTGTACTCTGTGGCCACCACCCTGGTGAACTGCACCAACAGCTACGATGTCAAGGAGGTCATCCCTGAGCTGGTGCAGCTCGCCAAGTTCTCCAAGCAGCATGTGCCGGAGGAGCACCCCAAGGTGGGCACAGGGCAGCCCAGGAGGGAAGCGAGCTGTCAGACCTCCAGGAGAGGGGGAGTAGAAAACCAGGAGTGTGGTGTTTTGTGATGTTTCACAATAGTAAATTCCCCCACTAGGTGGTGGTCGTGCTTTTCTTTTAATTTTCTGTGTATTTGAGGGTGAGGTGGTGACAGTTTTGTCATCTGATTAAACAGAGCCTGGATGTACATTTTGTAATATTTGTTACTGACTTCGTGGATATTGGACTTCCATTTCATGTTTCCAAGGCATAAAGCTTTGATTTTTCTGGGTTATCCAAATTTAAAGATGGGGTGCTAAATAAGAAGAGGAGGTTCACACATGAACTTTAGCCCACATGTTAGAAGTCCCTGCCGGGATAGGTCAGTATGTTATTTGTATATGAATGAATATGCAAAAGATATTCCCAGCTAGTGAGATCATTTAGATTTAAAAAAAAAAACAATTAAAGTAGCATACTTATGTGGCAGAACAGAAAGGGAGACCCTGGAGAAGAGAACGTAAGTGCCCAGCAGCACCGGCTCCGCTGTGAGGTTTAAGCGAGCTTCTGGAAATTATGTGCCAAACCACCTCCTCCCGACTACTTCCATCTCTGATGATTATCTGTGGTGATGACTCAATCTGAGGCTGACTTTAGGTTTCCAGTAAAATTCAGCCTAATTGCTAAGTCAGCTTTATCCACTTTTCTCTTTCAGCTCTGCCTATGTCCTTTCTCCTCAAGCCCCTTTTGTCCCCAAGTAAAGCTATGTACAGGGCATGTAGTGTCTGGAATCATCCTTCTTTTGTTTCTGTCATGTTGAATGAGAGCCTTTCAGATTGGTTTGCTCATGGCATCAGTTCCTTGGACTGCACACTGTGAGGACCAGGAGGTGGCATTCTGAGGGCATTCTGATGTTTTCAGCAGCAGAACATGCTCTATATCCCTTGGCAGGTGTTTGGGCAAAGGCACTCCGAACATGTGTATTTGTTTCCTATTGCTTCCATAATGCATTGCCTTAAACGACAGCAACCCTCCAACACAAATTTTTTAATTTAAGATTAAAATATTTCTGCACATCAGAAATATTAAACTTGGTTTCCTGGGGTGAAAGTCAGCAGGGCTGGTTCTGTCTGGGGGCTGAGGGGAAAGCCCTGTGCTTTGATTTTTTTCAGCTTACCCAGTGTGGTTTATGGCCTTGAGTCACTCCAGCCACTTGGCGGGCTCATCTCCTGGTATTAGCTGTCTTACTCCCTTGTGATTACATTGGTTCCACCCAGAAAATCCAGGACTTTTTCTAATCCTAATTCATTTAACGCAATCATCTTCACAAAATCCCTTTTGTCTTGTAAGGTCACCCATTCTCAAGACCCAGGGACTAGGTTGTGGTCATCTCTGGGGGCCATTATCCAGCTCACCATAGGAGTTATGAGTTCCAGCACCAACTGGCTTGGAGCCTAGGTCCCTTCCCCACGTCTATCCTTTTGTCCCCCCAGGACAAGAAGGACTTTGTAGACTTGAGGGTGAAGCGTCTACTGAAGGCAGGTGTCATCTCGGCGCTGGCCTGCATGGTGAAGGCGGACAGTGCTATCCTCACAGACCAGACCAAGGAGCTGCTGGCCAGGTGGGATGGAGGCCAAGAGGTTGGATGAAGAGATGCAGACAGTGGGAACTAAGCGAGGGGATCGGGCACATGGAGAAGGCAGGTCATCACAAGAAGTCAGGGTCAGACTGTCCCTTCTGGCTACCTTCTTCCCAGAAACAGAAGGCATAATCTCTATGCAGCCTAGAGGGTAGGCAAACAATACAATACAGCACAGCATGGTGGGTACCATAACAGGGGGGCACAGAGTGCTAGCCGGAACCCAGTCAATGGCTCCCAACCAGCCAGACTAGAGGGTAAGTGGGTGGGCATCTATCCACTTCCTCAACAGAACCCCAATGGAAGGAAAGGAGCCAGTCAACTGCAGGGAAGAGAAGGGTTTCAGGCAGAGGGAATAGCATGTGCAAAGACAGCTGGAGGGAGAATGTATAGAGTTTGGGTTCTTCTGTTGTTTATCTGTGTATGGGGTGCTGGGGTGGGAGGGTGGTGCTAGATGGGATCTGAGAGGAGGCCATGGAAAGACTACAGGGGTAGGGAGAATTTCTTCTGGGGTGGGGGTAGCAGGAAGCCATTGATTTTCTCCATATACAGGAAGAAGTGGCTCTTTGCAGACTTACTTCATTTTACTTCCTCCCCCAACACTCACATCCATAGCAGGTCTTTTAAACGTGCCTCGGTCCAGGCAAGGGTCACATGGGCTGCCCTCTCTAGGCTTTCACTGTTGTGCCTAGGGTTTCACTGTTGTTCCTGGCTCTGGCTTGTCCGTGATTCCTCGAAATGGGGCACTGGAACACTGGCGCACTGAATATTTTGCCTTATCATTGCCTCTGCAGGGTGTTCCTGGCACTGTGTGACAACCCAAAAGACCGAGGCACCATCGTGGCTCAAGGTGGTGGCAAGGTAATTAGACTGGATAGGTCCTTCCTTTTCAAGAAGGTGATCACCTCACTGGGGAGGAGTGCACACTCGTGTGTGTGTGTGTGTGTGTGTGTGTGTGCATTTGTGCACAGATGTATGTATGTGTGTAAGTACCCATTGCTTTGCTCAAGATCATGTGTCCCTACATAACCTAACTTTCTCAAATACAGTCACTCAATTACTCACTCTGTTTGGGCTCATGGGCCCAAACCAATTCCTGCCTGACTTGATGATGTCATGGTATGCACTTTGGGATTTCATTCATCCCCCTTGCTATTGGAGAGAAGCCTGGTCCAAAGACAGTCCTTTTGATTCTGCATAGGAGGCCTGTTCTTCTTTTTAGCTGTGCAAGCTTGGGCAGATTGCTTGCCCTCCTTGAGCCATACTTTATCCATCTTTAGACTGCTGGGGGAGGGACTACATTGTGACTTTTCAGATTGCCTGAGGAGTAGATAAAATACACAGGAAGCTCACAGGCACTGCTCAGTGAATGGTTGCTGCTAGGATTAGATTTAGCTTCAGCAAAATTCAGAAAATATAGTTATTATTGATTTATTATTTTATCTTATTTTTTTGAGGCAGGGTCTCACTGTAGCCTTGGCTGGCCTGGTACTTGATGTATATGTAATTCAGGCTGGCTTTGAGCTTGTGATTCTCTTGCCTCATCCTCCCGAGTGCTGGGATTATAAACTTGTGCCCCCACACCTATGGATTATTTATTTTTCCAAACTGGATGAGGGGGGTGTAAGGGTGAAGACCTTTATGGATGCTGGGTACCAGGGGAGTGAATCCTTGATAAGTATTGAATTTTTACATGGTGCTTGGGTTAGTCAGACTTGTCTCTGAGACAAATATCTGAGACAACTTCAAAGGAAGATAGTGATTTGGGCTCATGTTCTTGGAGGTTTCACTCTGTGACTGGCATGCTCTGTTGCTGTGAACCTGTGGTGAGGTGGAACATCATGGAAACAGGAGTGTATAGGACAGCAAGGTTGTTTACCTCCTGAGAGTCAGGAAAGGGGCTTGGTGAAGAACAGAGGAGGAAACAGGGAAGGGGGAAGGAAGGAGGGAGGGAGGGAGGAAGGGACAGAGATGGGGAGGAGGAGTGAGATCTGATAGATCCTTTAAAGGGATGTTCTCAGTGATGTACTTGTGCCAATCAGGCCATTCCTCCCAGAGCCCATTCTGCTGTGAACCTATCAGTGGATTAATTCTTATATTAGCTGAGTACCCTCAGGATCCAGTTACCTCTCCAAGGCATGGCCAGCTGGAGACCCAGCCTTCTGCACTTGAGCCTTTGGAGACTGTCCAGACAGTGTCAATGCTCAAAAGCTGATTATGTCGTAGAGTCTCTGATAAGACAGGCAGGAAAGCTGGCGTGAAGGAGGGCGAGGCCTGTGCATGTCTGTGGCTAGGTAGTGACTGCACCCTTTCTTGCAGGCCCTGATCCCCCTGGCTTTGGAAGGCACAGATGTGGGCAAGGTGAAGGCAGCCCACGGGCTAGCCAAGATCGCTGCCATCTCCAATCCGGACATTGCCTTCCCTGGGGAGCGGGTGAGTATTCCAGATAGGGTAATGGAGGAGTCCCCTTATCTTCCTAGGGGCCTGTCCTTTCATCAACCCTGTCAGGAGAGGGGCATGGGAAGACTCCCTGTCACAGGGAAGACATGAATCAGAGACACCTGGACTCTAGGTCTGGTTTTTCCTCTGGTGAGCACAATTGCCCTCCCAGAAACTCAGTTGTTTCATCTCATAGTGAAAGGAAACAACTAGCCCCTCAGGGTCACTGTGCAGATTAAAGAAGGTAGTGTGTGGGAAAGAAAGAGCTTTGGAAATGTAAATTTGGTGACCTATAAATGCAAGGGACTGGGAAATATTGTCCCTATCTGATCTGATCTGTGCCCTCCCCACAGGTGTATGAAGTCGTGCGACCACTTGTGAGTCTCCTGGACACACAGAGGGATGGGCTTCAGAACTACGAGGCTCTCCTAGGCCTCACTAACCTGTCTGGACGAAGTGACAAGCTCAGGTAAGTGGGCTGGGTGGAGGGGGACAAAGGTGCAGAGAGGTGTTCAAAGAAGGTTTGCTTGAAATTTTACATGTATTATGTGCTAACTGCTCTGCTCAGAGGACAGAATCAAAGGTGGAATAAAGTAGGAGGGATTTGAGCTGACACTCCATAAGAACACACAGGGATTGTAGAGTTAGAGATCACAAGGCACTGCCTCTTAAAGTAGAAGGAGATGGACGCCCCCCACCCCCTTTTTTTTGGTCCGTTTGAAACAGGATTTCCCTGAAGCCCCAGCTGGCCTGGAACTCACTATGTAGATCAGGCTGTCTTTGAACTCACAGAGATCTGCCTGCCTCTGCCTCCCAAGTGCTGGCACTACAGACAGGCATGTGGCACCATGCTCTGCTGGAAGTCCCCTTTTGAAATAGAAGTCAGATAGGGCGTGGTGGCATATGCCTTTAATCCCAGCACTTGGGAGGCAGAGGCAGGCAGATCCCTGTGAGTTCAAGGCCATCCTGGTCTACATAGCAAGTTCCAGGCCAGCTGGGGCTACAGGGAGACCCTGTCTCAAAAGACCAAAGGGGAAAAAAAAATAGAAGTCAGGGGGATGAAAGGGGTGCTAGGTATTTCTTCTGGGAAGCAGGGGGATGGTGGAATGTATTGTGTTATGATTCCTTGAGTTTAAAGTGGCAGAAAATTCAACCTGTTATTCAGTCTAACTGGCTTATGCATTAAAGAAGTGTAGGGTAATCTAGTCAGGTGTGGTTTGATGCCGGGGTTACAAGTCGTCTTAGCTGCTTGTCTTCCAGTCCCTGTTCCCTTCTCTGCCCTCCCCTCTCCTCCCCTCTATTGTCTTAATTTTCTTGTGGCCCTTTTCCATCTCTCATGGTTACAAGGTAGCTCACAAGGTGGGTGACATCTAGCAGGAAAGAGAGAAAGAGAAATTTCCTTTTCCCAACAATAACACAAATCAATCTCCGGTAGGGCAACACGTTTGTCTCACAGCCCGTCACTGTGGCCAGGAGGTGGTCATGCCATTTCATTTATGTCCATTGATACTCCTCCTGGAGCTGCAGGTGGGCTCAGTACCCCCTCCCCCACTGTGCTGAGAATGTGGGAGGACCCCATGAAGATGGAGGAAGGGCCCTGGATGGCCCAAACCTACATTCTTACTGTAAGCAAAGGACTCAAGGCCTTCTCTTTCTCTCCCTTCCCTCCAGGCAGAAGATCTTCAAGGAAAAGGCCTTGCCAGACATTGAGAACTATATGTTTGAAAATCATGACCAGCTGCGACAGGCAGCCACTGAATGCATGTGTAACATGGTGATCAACAAGGAGGTGAGGGGCTTGGGAGGGACCTGGTGACTGAGGCGTTAGTGCTAGGCCTGGGATGAGGCTGGGGTCTATGAGATGGTACTAAAGTCATATTTTGGCCAGAGAGCTTAGGAGTATTAAATCTTTCCTAGATTATAGGCTCTTTCTTTACAGAGATCTGGAGAAAAATAGATTCATAATGTAATATCCCAGGCTTGGTCTGGAAGGCACCGCTAAGTTACTTAGGCCTAAATAACATCATGGCAAGGACAGGAGACCAGGGCTCTTGGAGGTCAAAAGAGACTAGGCCACTTCACTTGCACTTATTAAAGTTCCACATATACAGAAAATATGAGGAATTTCCAAAATACAGTTTTGAATCATTTTAGAACATCTCATTTTGACTATCACTATGCCCATGGAACTTGCAATGCATTATAGCCTGCATTGATGATGAGTGTCATCACAGGGTAATTACAGGATTTACAAACAGAAAATGAATTAGGGGCATGCCATGAGGCTTCCTGGTAAAGTAATGGAACAAACAATGAGTGTCTAATGAACATATTCTTCCCATTATTGGCAGGCATCACTGTTGCTTGTAAGGCACATCAGAGGTAGACAAGACAAGTCTAGATCTGAGGCTCTTCTGGAATGTGAGCTCTCCTGCTGGGCCCAGTGTGAGGCCTCAGCTTTCTTGCCTCTGTATTAAATTCAAGTCTTAGATCCTTTCCTATTTTTGGAGGGAAGTTCAATTTAAGGAAACTTAAAGCTGGGTGTGGTGGTGCATGCCTTTAATCCCAGCACTTGGGAGGCAGAGACAGGTGGATCTCTGTGAGTTCAAGGCCAGCCTGGTTTACATAGTGAGTTCCAGGACAGCTGGGGCTACAGGGAGACCCTGTCTCAAAAAGACCAAAAAAGACCAAACAAAACAAGACAAAAAAACAAAACCACTTGATAGAGTCAGCAGGAATTAAGTTACCAGAGTCCACCAGGGGACTGGCCCAAGGCTATGCTAGGGCCTGGCAGTTATGTGGGAGAAAGAGGGTGTGCCCAAGGAGTCCAAGGTGGGGTACAAAAAGTGGCAATGTGAGAGGGGAGCCAGCCTTCCCTGGGGGAGTACCAGCTGCTGCAACAACAGGATCAAACTACATGGGGGTCTTAACAGGGGTCTCACTAGTCACATCATAATCCTATTGGATTGGGTGGCTCTCCTCTACACTTAGGAATCCATGACTTTTCAGTGGAAGTGCCTCTCTCCTGTCACCTTGGAGTGGTCTCTATTTGGTGGTGAGTAGAAGAGACCATAGAAGTAGAAGAGACCTGTGGTCCTTACCCACAGTTGCCTGCCAGTGACACAGCTCCCTTTTCTTTCATGTCATCAGTGAGAACTAGGACACAGCCACTCATGGTGTAGGAGAGGGGAGGGTATGGGCTTGGAGGGGGCAACTACTACCAGTGATAACTGGGCCCTACAAGAGGGGATTACACTGACCCCTTCTTTCATACGCTCCCCTCTGATGGCCACTGTTCCAGTTCCAGGGAGATGCAGGTGGAGACTTACCTGGGTGTTTGTGATCTCTGTCCTCTTTCAGAGCTCTACATTTTGGAAATTTGATCCAATAGAATATCCCTAAGCTTGACCAACTAGATTTTACTGTCATTTAGAGTGTGGCAGTAAGATGCTACAAGTTGCTTAATACCTCTCTGTGACAGGTCAGGGTACTGGGTGGAGCCCAGGCAGCATCATCCTTGTCCAGTGGAAACAGGATAATCGCTCCCTAGTACCAAATTTGTCCCTGCCTCTGCACAAGGCCTTATGCTTTCAGGGACAGAAAGTCTTTATATAGAAGGACACAAAGGTCCAGGGCTGTGGGGGAAGCAGTCCACACTTTCCAAAGGAAAGTAACAGGTTCCTCAGGCATCGCCTGCCCTCCAGGAGTCCTTCCTGTAGCTTTCCTCTGCTGTGGAGCTAGATGGAAACAGAAGTAGTGGAGCATGTGAAATGGGTTGGGATTCTCTTTAACCTTTAAGCTGGTAGAATTTGTAGCCTCTTCATCTAGTCAATCAGTGAAGTCTTCCTTGCGGGGAGGGGCTGGTTAGCATGTGGGAGCAGCTGGACAAAAGCTCCCAGGAATCCTAGGTCAGGGAACTTCAGCTGTATCTTCGGGGAAGACAGGTGGAAGGGGTCATTTTTTCACTGAGCCACACACCTGCCTGGAACAGGTTCAGGAGAGATTCCTGGCTGATGGGAATGACCGTCTGAAGCTGGTGGTGCTGCTCTGTGGGGAGGATGATGACAAGTTGCAGAACGCAGCAGCTGGGGCTCTGGCCATGTTGACGGCAGCACATAAGAAACTGTGCCTCAAGATGACACAGGTGGTAAGTGTGGACCTGAGGGACAGGAAGGGCCTGGATGGGCTGCAGAAAACCTCTCACCCCCAGACCACCCAGGACCTCAGGCAACCCTTGCCAGCCAGGAGTTGGTTTATGTGTTCTTTGGCCTTTACCCTCATTGTTTGAACTTCTCAAGTGTGCTAACTTAAGTCCTCCCACCACAGTTTGGTCTACTGCCTTCTGGTACATAGAACTCCTACTAAAGAACAATAATAAAATCATATAGCTGTTGTGGGACACCTCAGCGAGGGGGCTGGGACGCTGCAGGGAGCTGGTGGTGACTTGGTGAAGAGGCTGTAGATTCCCTGCAATGGACATGATGACCAGTTTCTATGATGGGATTGTGGCCACTGCAGCAGGTGTAATGGGAATAATGCTGTCATAGTCCTAAGTATGGGGGTGCAAGATGAAGTTTTCCTTTTCTCCCCATACTGAGCCTAGCTCATGGACATTCATCTCCACTGAGGGTGAGAAAGTCAGCTCAGTTCAAATATGCTCACATCTGGGCTAAAGGCTGATTCTTATGCATGACCATTTAAAACTCTCTCTCTCTCTTCTTCTTCTTCTTCTCTTTGTTTTTTGAGCTCCATGTGGGCTTATTTTGTCCTGCTACTAGAGGCCTCTACTGGGTGCTGCTCATTCTGTGTAGTCTTTGGACTTCAATCTCTTGCTATGGCAAGCTCCTCAAAACTATAATGCTTTTAAGAATCACCCATAGTGCTTGTTAGAACAATTTCCCTTGGTATTCTGATTCAGTAGATTGGGAGGATCTCCTGGTATGGGGACCACCATTAGAAACCATCTCTAGAGTCACTTCTGTGGAGTAACTGAGCACATAGCCCATGGGTCGGGTCCTCGTAGATACTCTGATTCTTTGCACTGCCCACAAATGAGGTATTTCCCTAAGGGGATATGTACATGCATATGACATATGTATTACATCATTTAATATTTCCAATTACCCTGTGAAATAGGGAATTATTTTCCTCCTCTTACTGTTGAGGAAACTGAGGTTCAGAAATGTCACTAGTCCAGGAACAGTGACAGCTGATACTCGTGAGGCTTAAGAGGGGACGTAACTTAGATGTAGCCATGCAGGTAGCAAGTGATGAGCAGGGCCTGATTTCTCTGACTCTGAGCCCATGAGATGCCTGCTCTGCTCTGCTGCCTCCTGGCTCTGCTGTCAGCTTCACCACTGCCTCTTGGGTGATCAGAGCGATTGGGCATTCATGCATAGCAGTTGGGTGTCTTCATAACTGTGGGTGATAGATGGAGAAAGAATGAGGAGAGGATTCACCTCAGGGTCATGCTGTTGTTTTTGGTTGTAGTAAAGGCTGGAGAACATGCCTGCAACCCAGGAACTCTTGCCACAAAGGGCATCTAGCTTGGAAGAAGTGTAAATTGTCCAAGTGCCCAGAGTGAGGATTCTCCTTTCTGAACATTCTGCATCTCTATTCCGCTGAGATGTGCAGCAGGCCAACCTTTCTGCTTCTCAATCTGCTTACAAAAATAAATAGATGAGAGACTGGGGAGATGGCTTAGCGCGGATAAAGCATTTTATGTACAGGCATGATCAGGGAAGACACTAGATGTCCACTTCTGGCCTCCACGTGCATGCACATATATGTGCTCTCATACCCATTCACACATGGGTACTCACACACATGGGAACTTGCATACAGGCACTCATATCAAATGTACATGTACAGGAAGAATGGATAAACAAATGGATGTGACCTGTCAGTCGTCTTCTGTTTACAGGTATGTGGTCACAGCTAAGTTACTTAGCTGTAGGCCTGGCTGATACTTTCTGTTTCTCTTGTCCCCAAATCTCCTCTTTCTGCCTCCTCACTGATTTCTTAAATCCTTCCTTACTGAGTTTTCTTTTACCAGACATCTCAGTGGCTGGAGATCCTGCAGCGGCTTTGCCTGCATGACCAGCTGTCAGTGCAACATCGGGGCTTGGTCATCGCCTACAACCTGCTGTCAGCTGATGCTGAGCTGGCCAAGAAGCTGGTAGAGAGTGAGCTGCTGGAGATCCTGACTGTGGTGGGAAAGCAGGAGCCAGATGAGAAAAAGGCGGCTGTGGTTCAGACAGCTCGAGAATGTCTCATCAAGTGCATGGATTATGGCTTCATCAAGCCAGTGTCATAGAGAGGGGTCCATACGGGGTGCTGGGACTGGTCTTCACCGAGCAGAGTCCTGAGCTGGGTACTCCTGAAGTGTCAGTTTATCTAGGGATCAGAGCAATAGCAGTGAAGTCTCATTACAGAGGAAAGAAAGACTTGGTTGTCTCCTGAATTGTGAAAATTCCCTTTGGTCCTGGGAAAGTCTGAGTATTTCAATGACTGTCTTACTCCCTTCCTCCTCAAGTTTGTCATGTTCCAGAAATTCCCAGAGTCATTTACATCTGTGATTAGAAGACAGGATGGACAATTCTGTCTGTCTGTATTCAGAATGATGGGCTGATGTTCTTTATATTTTGTAAAACAGACTGTGTAGTGGTAAGGTCAGAGCTAACAGCCATAAAGGTCAGAGCTAATGTGACTGTAAGGGTCAATGCTGTTGTTGAATTCAGATGCTGATATTTCTGATTTTCATGTCTTCTTCCTCGTATATTGGAACCATGCGTCTCAGCTGTAAGCGTCCTGTCCCAGTCCCATACCCACTCCCATCACCCAATTGTGATGGAAACATAGTTTGTGTTCACACTATGACATGACCTCTTCAATTTGCTTGAGAACGTTTTCTAAGCAAGATGGACATGATTAATATAAGACCAACTCAAAGTTCTTCAAGAAAAAAATTAAATAATTCATCAATATATGTTGGTCACTCAAGGAAAGGTCTGGCATTGTTAGACCCAGTGGTTCAATGTCATCATCAATACTATTGTGTGTATGTGTCTTTTTCTTCTTCTTGGTTCCACGTCTCTGAGTTACTCTGGGTTGACTTCATCTGTGGCAGGCTCTGTCCATGCACTAGGGAAAATAGATCCTAACAGCTCTGGACTTATATATAGTTGTTATAGCTCATTATGGAAGAGAAGAAAAAGGACCACTCCCAATAACCTAGCAGATTTCCCAGGGATGGCTGGTGTGCCTAGTTTATTTTCATCCATGAACTAGTAAGATCCAAAGGTGGATGTTCGTTGCCAGGCCTGGGTCATACATAACAAAAGTTTGGGATAAGAAGGAGCTTTTCCTCTAACCAATTGACATAGACTGATTGGTAAGGAATGGGAGAGATACTTCACCACCAAAGAGTGTATGTTGGATGTTCTAAATTGCTTTCTGTTGCTGTGATAAATACATGGTGGGAGGAAAGGGTTTATTATAGCTTCCAGGTTACAGTCTGTCTTTGAGAGAAGCCAGGGCAGGAACTGAAACAGGAACTGGAACAGAACTGTTATTTACTGGCTCATTTTCTGGCTCATGCTCAGCTAACTTAAATTTTTTTTTACTTATTTTTGTTTTATGTATATGAGTGTCTGCCTTGCGTGTATGTATTTATTTATTTTGATCTTTTCGAGACAGGGTCTTCCTGTAGCCCCAGCTGGCCTGCCACTCCATATGTAGACCAGGCTGGCTGTGAACTCACAGAGATCTGCCTGCCTCTGTCTCCTGAGTGCTGGGACTAAAGGCATGTGCCACCATGCCTGGCTTGCCTTGCATGTATGAAAGCACTCCACATAAGTGCAAACCCATGGAGACCAGGAGTGTCGGATCTCCTGAAACTAGGTTTCAGATGGTTGTTAGCTACCATGTGGGTGCTGGGAACCGAACCCGGGTACCCTTGAAGAGTAGTTGGTGCTCTTAATGCTGCGCCATCTCTCCAACTCCTCAGCTAACTTTCTTATATGGTTCAGAACCACCTGCCTAGGGATGGTACACCACTCTTGGGCCCTTCCACATTAGAAATCAATGAAAACAACCTTTCACTGACATGGCTACAGAATAGTCTGGTCTTGGTAATTCCTCAACTGACATTCTCTCTTTCTTGGTGACTCTGAATTGTGTCAAGTTGATGATAAAAACTAATCAAGACGTTGGGCAAATAAAAAAGAACACATTCTGCCGGGCATGGTGGTGCATGCCTTTAATCCCAGCACTCGGGAGGCAGAGGCAGGCAGATCTCAGAGAGATCAAGGCCAGCCTGGTCTACATATAGAGTTCCAGGCCAACTGGACTTCAGGGAGACCCTGTCTCAAAAAGACCCAAAAAAAATTCTGTATGTTACACTTAGCCACAGAAGAACAACCCAAACAATATACTTGCGGATATGCATTTGTCTGTTAATATCACCTTCCTAACACGATTAAGAAAGCTATTGTCCGATGCTGTCACTTCAGCATGCCCCAGTTCTACCACTTTTATTGAAGAGTCACTAATTTTGAAGCCAGATGAAGCTCTATACATCTGAAATAACAACTCACAGGGGCAGAGGCAAGGTGATCATGAGTTTGAGGTCATTCTGGGCTACATAGCAAGACCCTGTCTAGAAAAAACAGTTCTCTTATCGCATTGGGTAGAGAGTAGACATTCAGATTTATCGTTCTTGATAAAATAAGTTATTTTGGTACAATAAATTTAATAGTCCACATTCACAGAACATCATCTGGAAAGGCGGGAGGAAGGAAAGGAAGGAGGGAGGGAGGAGAGAGAGAGAGGAGAGAGAGAGAGAGAGAGAGAGAGAGAGAGAGAGAGAGAGAGGATATTATTGGAATGTTGTACTGTCAGGATTTGGGCCAGATCTTACCCCATTTTACTCTCCAGAGAATGGGTGCAAGTATCATGAAAGTCTGAGTTTCCCAGATCTTAACTGTAGCAGGAGGCCTCACATACACTCTAATTCTTATATGAGCTTGTTTTACAGTAGGAAACTGTACTTATTAGACCATTTTTATTCTAAGAGAATGGCAGTCAACATTGGGGTAGACCTTTTGAAAATATATGCAACTTTAGTTAGCAATAAATGGTGTGATTTGACCTTTGTCCAATATCACCTTTTCTCCTTTCTCCACATTTAAGGTTGAATGGGTATACCAAATGTCTCACAAGGAACACCTCTCAGGGCTGGAGAGATGGCTCAGTGATTAAGAGGACTGGCTGCAGAGGACCCGGGTTCGATTCCCAGCTCCCACGTGACAGCTAACAACTGTCCATAACTTCAGTTCCTGGGGGTCCAACACCCTCTTATGACCTCCATGGGCATTGCACAACATGGATGTACCTATATACATGCAGGCAAAACACTCATACACATAAAATAAATTAACAAACAAAAAAAGAAACACTTAGCCTAGAGTCACAGCCTCACCCATTCTCAGTCTCATGAGTTTATTGTCCACACAACACCCAGGACGGGTTGGATAAATCTCATTCTTTTATTTCATCTAACATGAATTTTCTCCCAACACTTCAAGAAGAGCCAGGGAAAGCCAATAAGCTTGGGAAGGAAAGTGAATTCTTGAATCTGATTTTTGCAGCCTTTCATTGTCTGGATGAAACGTCTTCATGGGAGATTGTTTAAAAATACTGTGGGAGGGACTGGGGAGATGGCTCAGTGGGTTAAGTGTTTGCTGTGTAAACATGAGGACCTGTGTTTATTTCTCAGAACCCACTTAAAAATCTGGGTGTGGTGGCATGTGCTTGGAAGGTGTACTGGGGAGGTGGAGACAGGTGGACTCCTGGGCCTCATTCTATAGGCAGCCCAGCCTGATTGGTGAGTGCCACTCGTAGTGAGAGATCCTGTAGCAAAAAACAAGGTGGCAAGCTTGGTGGTGCACACCTTTAATCCTAGCAGTTGAGAAGCAGAGGCAAGTAGATCTCTGAGAACCAGGCCAGCCTGGTGTACATAGCAAGTTACAGGCCAGCTGGGACTACAGGAAGTCCCAAAAAACCAAAAGCAACCAACCAATCAACCAAAACTCAAAACTCAAAACCCAAAAGCAAGGTGGATAGTGCCTGAGAAGGAATGATACTGGAGGTAGTTTTCTGGCTTTCATATGCACATGCGTACAAATGCACACACACCCACATGCACACACAGACACAGACACAGACACACACAAACACAGACACACACAGACACAGACACACACAGACACACACAGACACACACACACACACACAGACACACACACACACAGACACACACACACACAGACACACACAGACACACACACACACACACACACAGACACAGACACACACACACACACACACCCATACACAAGAAATGCTGTGTGAAACAGTCTTTTCTTCCATCTGCTTAGGTTATAGAAGCGGGGCTTTTCCAGCCTGGAATTTGTAAGTTTTGCTTGCAGTCCAGAGGTGAGAGGGCTTATTAGCATTTTCATCTTAGTAATCAAAACACCTGAGAAAACAGCTTAAAGGAGGGAAGGTTTATTTGGGCTCATAGTTTCGGAAGGTTCAGCCCATGATTGCTTGGCCCTTTGAAGAACATCGAGGCAGTAGGAATGTGTCATGGAGATGTTTCACATCAAGGCAGACAGGAAGCAGAGAGTGAGGAAGGGATCAGGGACCAGGTACAACCTTCAAAGTTATGCCCCTAGTGATCTATTTCCTTCCTTTACCTCTTAAAGTTTCCAGAACCTTCCAAAATCATATCACCAGCTGGGGCTGAAGCATTAAACACATGAGGCTGTGGGGGCCATTTCTTATTCAAACCATAACAAGGGTCTCTGCTTCTTTCCATCTATGCTTGCAAATAGGCCAATGCTACCTTGAGACCAACTCTTCATGGTGGTAGATTACTAAACACCAGCAAGGAATAGTCAGTACCTCCCAACTTTTGAAAATTTCTCAACCATCTGCCACTGCTCTTGGGCTAGTGACGTTTCTCAACCTCAGTTTTCTCAACTGTAAAATGAGAATACTGATCCCTACCTCACAGAGTGGATAGAAACACACTAAATAATGTTATATATATATATGCACACATACACATACATTATACATCTGTCTCCTTAGGGCAGCACCCCATTTATGGAAAGTGTGGAGAGTCACAGAGTGTCCATGTGGACTTACACCAGGAGCTGTGTGCCCAGTGACTTCAGCAGCAGTGACTCTAGAGGGAAGATTTCAAATTAAAGTCCCCAGGCTAGGGGTTCCATCCCAGACCCAAATCTGAATCAGAATGCCAAGGGAAAGTTGCAGATAGGGATGTAAATTGTAATTATGTGATGGTTTGAATGAAAATGTCCCCCATAGGCTCCATGTATTTGGACATTTTGTCCCCAGATGATGGTGCTGTTTGGGAAGGTTTTAGAAGGTGTGGCTCTCCTGGAGGAAGCACGTCACTGGGGGTGGGCTTAGAGAGTTCTTAAGCCTTGCCAGATCTCCAGTTGCTCTCTTGCTTCCTGTGCCTGCGTGATGATGTGAGAGTTTAGCTTCTGCTGCTCCTGCTCCAGTCACCTCCAGCCACCATGCCTCCCTGCCACGACTGACTGTAATTCCCCTGGAACAGTAAGCTCAAATAAACTCTTCCTTCTATAAATTGCTTTGGTCAGTGTTTCTATCACAGCAACAGAAAAGTGACTAATACACAAGCACTTAGGAAAAAAAGAGTTTGGCAATATCTCTCAAAAATATTTGGCATTAGGGGCTGGAGAGATGGCTCAGTGGTTAAGAACACTGGTTGTTCTTGCAGAAGACCTGAGTTTGAATCCCAGCACCCACATGGCAGCTAACAACTGTCTGTAACTCCAATTCCAGGAGATCTGACAGTCTCTTCTGTCCTCCGTGGACATTGCATGACACAGGTGCACTTACCTGCATGCAGGCAATACACTCATACACATAAAAAAAATATTTGGCATGAAGTTGAACACACGTGTAACATACAGTTCAGTGTACACAGCCTGT